CCCGGGACCCCCACAGAAGCCTGAACAAGGTATCCCTATGTTCCGAAACCTTCCATACCCCCCCATGACCCGAAACCCTATAACCCTAAACTCTGAAACCCTGAAGACTTACCGACAACTATCTCTGGAAAGGAGTCCTTGATGGCCGTGGATAAGGTACCACTGTGTTTTGAAGCCTCGCCCCATGCCAGCCCTATGAGCCTTCTCCCCAAACTGTGATAGCTTTCATCGAAGCGCGGAAGGGCGGTGCCATGCACGATGCGTCGCCTGCATGGGCAAGAGATCAGGAGGCAGCTTAGGGCCTAGATTTTTGGCTTTGGGCTTTTGTCGGGTTTAAAGTTCATGGGCTCTAGGGTTCAGAGTTATAAGGGTTCAGGGGAAAAGGGCTATTCATTGTCTAAATTGTAAGTCTTATTCCTCATTTTCCAATATTTGGGTACCTGAAGCCTTGTCGGGGTTCGTGGAAACTTTTTCAGGCTGTGGGCAGGGGGGAGTATGCTAAAGTACAATACCCCAGAGAAGGCAACACTAGGGTGCAACAAGCAAGGGATATCCTTACAGGTTTTATAGATAGGCACCAACCAAACACTCATGCAGGGACGTCCAATTTGATCTTGATTTCCAGCAAACAAGTCTCCTGAAGGTCAATCCCTAAGCCCTGTAGATCCTGGTCCTGAAAGCATAAACCTGGAAGCCCAAAGCCCTAAACCCTAAACTCTAACCTGTTGCACAACGAAGCCCTCCGATGACCCCAAGAAGGCTTCAAGCATCCTGAAAAACGCTTAAAGCCATCAAAGACGCCAGAAAAATAAGTCGCGGAGTGAGCCTTTGAGAGCGATGCTGGTTGCACCAACGTATGGGTCTCAGTGGTGGCAATTGCTGTTCCTTGCCCCGAAACCCTGCTCTGATTATGAAGGCTCCTACATGTCTTGTCAGCACCATCGGATATTCTGTACATGATGGACCTTGGACAGGCCCTTGCGAGGACTCTAAAGTAGGGAGCGCCTGGCTTCCGGAAGCCGTAAGCATCTGACGCACAGCCTCAAACCCATTCTGCTTATGGCAGCTGCGCTTTACATTCTCAGTCGGCTGATAAACATCCAATGAAAGCCAGCATGAATTGAAAAATAGTAAAGCACCCATTCAAGCGGGCGGCAAGCTCGCGTGTGTAGGCAGATCGTCGCGTCCCTGAAGCGATGATCCCCAAAACCCGATTCAAACACCCCTTCAAACTCACAGTGAAACTCTTGTCACCCTTGATAACAAAGACTCCCTAATCTGAAAACCCTAAACCCTAAACCGTCCTAAAGAGAGAGAAAGCTCGTCACACTTAGCAAAAACTTCATATAACCGCCCTGTAAAACCCTTGTAGACCCGTATCAAAACTCCCTAGACCGAAAAACTCTAAGCCCTAAACCATATGGTAGTTGCCGAAAATTAGGGGTACCTTTCTTAGGGTCCTTATAGTAAGAATCCCATTATTCAGAGCACTATATTCGGGTCCCCTATTTTCGGAAACTCCCAGATGAAACCCCTGAAATCCCCACGCCAAGCCCGGCATCGCAGGGGCCCGCCGGACTGAGCCTCGCAGAGATCTCTGCAGCTCGGGGCCCGGACTTCTTTGGGAGCTTAGGGCTGAGGGTTAGGGCTTTAGGGTTTAGGGCTTTAGGGTTTGGGGGTTTAGTTTAGGGAGGGGCTTAGCTTCGGAGATTCCTGTGAAACGCGTTCGACATGCCAGAACAAGGGGCGAAGGTCTACGGATTGGGCTTACGGTGTAGTGTATAGCGTCTGAAGTTTAAGGAGTATACATACTGTTGAAGGCCTACCGGGTCAAGTGCAAGGTTCAACATCTACTTTCAGGCGGAGTGATGATGTTCAGTTGACTTCTCAGGGTTTGGGTTGTCAGAGTTTTGGAACCAGGTGTGGTGATTCGGTTGATGGTATAAATCCTGCATTACCCAAATAAGGAATATACCATAATTCCCATAGTTTGGGGTCCTTAAGGTAATGCAGGATTTATATCATCAACCGTTTCGCAGAGTGTGTTGATGGTTGTGCTGTTCACGGCTCAGGTTGAGCTTCTCGCTTTCGCCTTGATTTGGGGCATCGCGGAAACACCGCCGAGGATCCCCTCCCCAAAAAGGGAAAACTCCAGAAAGTTGGAATATGGATTAATGGTAGGATCCCCTATAATTTTCCTTAAAGGGGTTACGATAATGATATTCCAACTTTCTGGCTTCTACTGTATGCGGGTTTACTGTGCGCTTGGTGGCTCTTAGACTCTATGTCTACCCGTCGGGAACTTTTATGGGGCCACGTTGCGGAATACGCAAGGCAGGTAAAGCATTTCGTGCTGTCGGATTTCGGGCGTTTTGGGTTAGGCTCTGGAGGCTTCGGCTTTTGGGGCCTATAGGTTTTAAGTCGAAGTGTACCGAGGCGAGTTTCGCCCACCATCGGGCGCGGGATGCAGTTGCGCGAGACTCGGGGGCTTCCGCGGGTGGAAGATTCGAGGGTGGTCTCGTTTAGGACGCGATCCCTGAGCCCTTAGCGGCGGGTTGATTGAAGTGCGAGGCTTACTTAAGACTAGCCATAAATCAAACGAAGCAAGGTGCCATAGTCATTTACCTGGATGTGCTGGTAATTTCCATAGCTGATTATGTTTGAGCTAGGCTTCCGGGTAAAATAGTTCTGGTCACTACTATCATGAGCTACTGCCGTCGTGACTTTACCGCTGCTACGCACTACTAGTAGTACCGTGCATGTAGCAGCAGAGGCTTCGGTACGAGTCGTGCTCTGGAAGCAGCCACAGCAGCAGTAGTAGAAGTAGCAGCAGCAGTGGGAGGGCTAGGAGCAGCAGCAGCAGCGGGAGGAGGAGGAGCAGGAGGAGGAGGAGGAGGAGGAGGAGGAGGAGTAGGAGTATAATATAGGAGTAGGAGTAGGAATAGGAGTAGTCGTAGTCGCCGCCGCTGAAGCTGCATGCTGCTGCAACCGCAGTCGTACTAGCAGCACCAGAAAGGTGTGCATGTTCCGAAAACAGGAGCAGTTCGTGTGCAGCGGAGCTATGGCTACCGTAGTTTCTATTGATTGGTCTGCTGTCCTGAAGGTGCAGTCCAGGAACATCTCCGAGGTGCTGTGCTGAACATGCCATCTAACACTACTACTGACTACTCTGCACCTATATGTGCTAACGTTGCATTTAGTTTATTAAGTTCAGTTGCTACTACTGCTACACCGCTACGTACTGATGATGTTGCCGCCATTATTACCAGACGACTACTAACTGCTGGTCATCCTGCTCCTCCTCATACTACGTTCACTTCTACTGCAACTGCGACTGCTACCACTGCTACTGCTACTGCTACTGCTACTGCTACTGGTACTGGTACTGCTACTCCTCCTACTACTACTACGACGACGACGACAACAACAACAACAACTACTACTACTACTACGACGACGACGACAACTACTACTACTACTACTACTACTACTACTACTACTACTACTACTACTCCTGCTCCTGCTCCTGCTCCTGCTCCCGCTCCTGCTCCTGCTCCTGCTACTCCTACTCTTACAACTCCTACTCCTACTACTGCTACTCCTACTACTACTGCTGCTACTACGACGACGACGAGTACTACTACTACGACTACTACTCGCTGCTGCTGCTGACTAGTGTTGACCACTCCTCCTGCTGCCAGGTCCCCCCTCCTCCTCGACCAGAGGCTGATTCCGGGAAGTCCTTACAGGGGGTTGGCATGATGAAGGTATGAGGTTCGAGAACCCTTTCACTATCGGTTCCTGACCGTTGCACCATGGAATGATCGAGTTTCTGGGGAGTTCGGGGAATTTGACGATCGGATGTTCAGATTAATTAAAGAGGTGTCTAGTAGACTAGGCCCCACAGTTTGAAATAAAGTGTTTAATTGTCGAAGCCTACGTGGGGGCTGGGGGCCTTGGGGCTTCGGCTTTCGGCCCTAAACACGAAAGGCCAGGCCCGAGACAGAAACCCTCCAATGTTATACAAACGCGGATAATCACTAATACTGCTCCTCATTTTCCTTGGTCTGATTCTGCTATGATACACCCAAAAACCCTTTCAATTCATTACGACCCGTGTATCTTCCTAACTTGCATGACTAGCAGCCAGAAATGATGAACCCTGTGGCTTTCAGTCGGGCAGCAGGCTTTTGCAGGGGTTATGAGGGTAGGGTTGATCAGGGTGAGGTCCGAATGTAGTTTTTGGGCAGGGTTGTTTTCATGAGGGCTGTGAAAATAGTTCGTGTATGTTCGTGTGGATGGTTAAGAGGTTCTGCACCGGAATGTTTATGCAGTAGGCTCCATGCAAATTGGCGGTCGTTTGGCTTTCAGCCCACTATGTGATGTATGTATCTTGAAGCTTCATCATCTTTGTCTCAAAAAGGCTATGGTGGTGATGTTAGTTAGTTGTAATTACTTTGCTCCGTCGGGATAAGCGACGATGGCGCTCGTTTGATTCGTTCTGAACTCACCGGACCGTCTGCAGCTTTCAGGCTCCAAGCCATTCCCGAAAAGCGCTTGCCCGCATTTTGTCCTTCGTGGGCAGCTCTTGGCATCGCAGCTCAAGCACCTGCATACTGTTGAGGGTTCAAGGCCTTCGGTTTTTGTGGTATACTTACACTGAGAGCTTGCAGCCGTCCATCGCGCTCCAGTTCTTTTCCTGCGCCGCAGCCCCAGTTGCAGAAGAGGAGTCGAGGTAGATGCGGTTCAAAGCCCTAGCCCCAACGACTCACTGCAGCAGTGGTAGTGATAGCACTAGAAGTAGTAGTAGAAGTAGAAGTAGATTTTGAAGTAGAAGTAGAAGTATTCGCGTGCATCTCGCCCGGATCGTCCGCAGTGGCTTCTTGCGTAAAGCCCTAAACCCCTAAACCGCAAACCCGTAAAAACACAAAAAGCTCTAACCCTAACAGGAGGGACCTCAAAAGCCTCAGCTGGCGGTGAAAGCCTGAGGCCTCGTCGTAATGGCACGCATGCTCTCGAAGGCAAGCGGAGAGACTTCGGGGCCTGGGTTCTGGGCTCTGGACTTTAGGGGTCTGAAAGGACAAGTATACGGCAGTATGCTGGTATGATCCGAGTTATAACTACTCGGTGGCACTTTGGGAAGCTTGTTCATTTCCCTTTATGTGCCCCATAGAGGTCCAAAACTACAACACAGATTAGTGTAGTAGTTCTACCCCATGATACCCCCCGAAAAGTAGGGTTTTAGGGTACAGGTTGTAACATTTAGGTAGGGTTTAGGGCGGCATTTAGGGTCTAGGGTCTACAGTAGGGCGCAGTAGGGCGGACAAGTTTTCTGAGTTGCGGCTTCCGAGAGGCCTGCGCAAGAATCGCGGCAGAATTCAGGATACCCTACATCTTCCTAAACCCTGGGCCCGACCCACAAATCGAGAAGTGTGCCAGGGTCAGAGAGACAAATCGATGTACAGAACGCGCTATAAGCCAGAGTTAAACTGGCTTGGCTTGGCATGGTTTGATTTGGTTCGGCCTCCCAGCACAACACCCAAGTAGCACAACGCTCCGCAGAGCAAGCTTTCTTCATGTGCAAGAAAGCAGCTCTTGTTGCTGCTTCGTGAGGTCGGAACCCTCGTAGTTTCCTCGATTCCAGAATGCTCGTGGACTCCCGAAGCCTTTCTCTCACATGGTTTGAAGCTCCAGACCATACAGTTGTACTTAAGCAGTATCCACTTGCAGTGCTCACAGAATTTTGTATTATGTTGTGACATACCCTGCAACCCTACCGGAACCATCAAGGCCACTTTTTCACAAGCTAATTCTCTGCAGCGAAGAAGGTTCTTCTGTCCGCCTTTCTCGCGACCGCCGCGGCCGAGACCTTGGACACGCCGCTGGCAGTCGACGACCAGTGCGATGCCGCTGGCGGCTCCTGGATTCGATTGCAGTCCTAAACCCTACATAAGAATTTCCTGTACGGGTTCTGTAATATGTGGGGACTTAGTATTTAGAATGGGTTGCGGAGGATATGTGCAAGAAAGGACTAGAAGGGAATGTCAGTAATTCGGGTCTACTATGGAGAAGCCAGAACCTCAAAGACCCCAAACTCCTAAGCCCCAAACCTCTGGACAAAAACACCTTAGGCCGCACGAAACGAACAAGCCGTGGCTCTAAAACCCTGCCACCTCAGATAAGAGGCTGCAAATAAGTCACCCTGAACCTGAAGACCTAAAACATCCCAGAATCCTAGATCGCTTCGAAGCAAAGAAAGGTAGAGCCCTGCATCCCGAAACCCTAGACAAGACAACACAAGCGACCACATAGCCCAGGCCATGCTCAACCCCAACACTTGGAAAAGACAACCAACTAGAAAGTCCTGAACCCTGACCCCCCACCCTTACTCCAAAGCAGTTCAAACCTTGCAGCCGTGACAACTAAACTCCTAAGCCGGCGAAGATTCTGGGTATAAAAATCAATATGCCTTAAGCTCGAAACTCAACCCCTCAGGCCGAAACCCTTAGACCGGCTTGGGCCCGAGACAACCCTGAACCGCGAAGAGGCGGCCATCTGAAGCACAGAGTCGTAAACCCTCAACCCTAAACTCTAAACTCGAAGCTCTGAACCCTAAACTCTAAACCCTAAACTCTAACCCCGATGCTCTAAACCCAAAGCTCTAAACCCTAAACCCTTGAGCACCGAGTCCAGGCGACTGTGCCCTGCAAGCTCTGCAGACTCGGGCAGCCTCTGTGGCCGATGCACCGGGAGGCAACTTGTCAGTGACAACGATAAGAATCGTAATAACAATAATAGAGTTATATTCATAATAATAATAGTAGATAGTAGTAATAATGTTCCTAATAATGGTAATGATAGTACTAGTAATAGCAATAATAGCAACAATGGTACTAGTAGTACCAGTAACAGTAACAGTTAATAGTGGTAATAACAGTACCAGTAATAAGAATAATGCTATCAACAAGTAGTACTAAGGGTGAAGGGTCCCGTTAGGATTCCATTTGAGGGGCCCTAAAGCCTGAAGGGTTTAGGCTTCAGGGTTTAGGATTTCCGCCTTGAGTCAACACTCGAGACATTTGCAGTATTAGATTTTGGCGGTGTCTTCTTGTGGTGTATGCAACCATGCATATGCATGGAGTTTTTTGCGACTTTACGGTGTGACTTATTTGCAGGGTTTGTGATGTGCGATGTGTGGCGCGTTTTTGATTCTGTCCGTGGGTCGATGCCGGCTCGACGCACTTTGGCGTTAAGAGCTTCAGATTTTTAGGCGATGGGTTTCACGAGATGAGAAATCCGTTGGCGATCCCTGCATGCTTCTGTTTTTCATTGTGCCACTTAAGTGCTTCTTCGATATTTATAGGCACGCGATGCCCAAAGCCTCCTTTCCCTACTGCCTAGAAACCGCAGCCCCGAAGCCTACGGCTTCTTGAGCCCGAGCGTTGAAAAGTGCTCGCAAGGATCCCTGCGCCGGAAGAGAACCTCCGCAAGAGCCAGCAAAAGCCCGAACACCACCCCAAACTCTAAAAGCCTTCCTGTGGGAGTTTCTGCAACAGCGGAGCACAATTCTCGACCCCTGAGGAGTGCAATGCTTAGCAACAGGACATCCGAAAAGCAAGCCGCAAGCAACCGTTCAGAGCCCCCCGAGTGCAGACCTATGCACCCGTTCCAAAGCTCCATTTAAATCCGCCATGTAAAGCCCACTTTAGGGGTCGGAAGACTTGGTATATAATAGTATGCTCTCGTAGTCTGCATATTGTCTATACACTTAAATCCACCAAGAATCAACTCCAAGAGTCAAGGCCCCACATCCTGTCTTAACCCGTGCGCAACCTGGAAAGACAGCCCGTTAAAGAACCCGTCTAGTAACCCTTTAAAGGAACACTTACATGAACTCTGTTCAAAGAACCCGACTCCCGAGACCCTTTAGAGTTTAGGGCCTATAGGGCTTTCAGGTTGTAACACTCTAAAGGATCTAGAAAACCTGCAAGCAAACCCTACTAAAATTCTTCAGCCAGGCTGCCCCGGCGGTCTTGGCCGCCCCATCGGCGGCGCGCCGTGCCGACCCTGCCCCGAAGGGACCTACAGCGAGGAAGGCAGTCCTCGAGTTGGTTCTATCAAGGTTCAAAGGGTGTGTTTCTGGGTCGTATATGAGTTGTAGAGTTATTTGCATGAGGGCTTGTTCGCATCTCCTGAGGGCCTTTTTTAGATGTTTCATGAGTGCTCCTGGACCTAGAAATTTCTCACTAGAACCCACATAAAACCCGCATACCACCGCCCAAAGCGCTTCTGCAACCCCAATCTGCAGGAACCTTTCTAAAAACCTGCAGAAACCCATTAAAAGAGCTCAAAAAGGGCATTGTAAAGCACTGGTTTCCTCACGCTGGTCGAGGCGCCGCGTCCTGCACCCGCTGCAAGGCGGGAACGTGGAACGACCGCCGAGGCTCCCCCACGAAGGTCCGAAACGCAGCGGTGGGAGAGGGGGGGGGGGGGTTAAGACAAATAAGAGAAAGTGGGGTTCCCTCTTCTTTTGTTAGTGTTACTATACGGTATTATGAGTACTAGTATTGAAAATCTTGTTATGACTATTGTTGTTCTGCTTGCTACTGTTGCTTGTGTTTTGGTAGTGGTTCTGATGGTGGTGGTAGTGCTAGTTCCAGCGCCGGTGCTAGTGTTTAGGGTAGAGGTGGGCGTCGTGGTGGAAGTAGTAGTAGTAGTAGTAGTAGTAGTAGTAGTAGTAGTAGTAGTAGTAGTAGTAGTAGTAGTAGTAGTAGTAGTAGTAGTCGGACGAGGAGTAGTAGGAGTAGGACTAGGCGTAGTAGTAGGAGCAATAGTATTAGTCGCAGTAGTAGTGTAGTAACAGCAGCAGCAGCAGCAGTAGTAGTAGTAGCAGCAGCAGCAGCAGCAGCAGTGGTTGTTGTTGTTGCAGCAGCAGCAGCAGCAGCAGCGGCCGCACCAGCAGTAGTGTTACTGTAAGAAAGGGAGGATAGTTGCGCAGGGGTTCGATGAGGAGGCGTCAGTGGTGCTTTTTCTGCTTGGGGTGTAGCGCCTGTGTGTGGACGGTTTGCGTCAAAGGTTTGCAGTTTCTGAGCTTTGGCCTTCGACCGTTCTACACACCCTGAGTCACAACCGAACCGTGTCCAACCCTCTACTACATTTTTTTCGGGTCCTATAATTGAAAAACCCTTGGTGTCCAGCCCTGTATCTAGACCCGGAACAGCAGAACGCAAACACAACTCTGGACCTCTGCACACACAAAAGGTAACACCGCACATCAACGCTATCCACACCCCGCGGGTGTGGACCACCAAAATCCAGCAAATTATTTGGCTCTCAATTTGTCTTCTCATGGTTTTCTGTCACTCTGTCTTTCTATTTTTCTCTTTGCGTTGCCACCTTTTCCCATCCTATACTCGGCGGCGAGGAAAGCTGCATGTCCTGCCCGGCAGGTGCGGTTCCGAGCGGGCTTTGTTGGAGTTTGTGCGTGGTCACAGGTTCAGACGGGCTTTCCACGTTTGGGACTTAGTGCTTGTTGAGAAACCGGAATGGGCGAGAAAGGGAGTAGTTCGGACGCAGACCAACACTCTTGAAGTTGGAGTCCGTTGACCAAGATAGGTGACCCCCATCTAAGATAGATGGCGATCGACGCCCGATGCCTGTAGAACCGTTATCACAGCCGCCTCTCTTTCAGTCCTTGTTCTTATTCCCGGCTTTTTCGGTTGATCTCGACTCGACATCTTCGCCGTAAGGGAACCAAGATCGAGGGATTATACAGCAGCTACCCACAGGCTCCATTGTAGTTCCTCTTTGGGATTAGCTTATAGGATTCTAAAAAATTAGGAACCCCGAAAAGGAACTGCTATGGAGCCCCTAGGTAATTATCATTCCGAACTTTTCGTATCATTTTAGGATCCCAACCATAAAGTTGGTTAACCAAAAAGGAACTACAATGGAGACTATAGGTAAAAGCTGATCTTTTCGTATCATTTTGCTGGATGTTGCAGCCGTTGCTGCCATATCAGGCACCTGGAGCAGCCAGGAGGGAGCATTGTCCCTCAACGCCTGCGTGGAGCCGCTTTCCTGAAGCTTCTTCATTCTTCTGTTTATGTCTATGTCTATATCTGTATCTATACCTTTCTAAAACACACATATATATAGATAGATAGATAGATAGATAGACATAACGCCCCCAAATTTGCGAAATCATAAGTCCTGGACCCGAAAGTCGCTCCGAGTCCGTCAAGAAACTGTGCATGACAGGGCCTCATGTGAGAAGGCGAAACTGGCGCTGACCATGCGGCGCAGGTACATGTTGCATCTTAGAAAGTCCCATGTGCACTGGGCCCTAAAGGCCTGTAATCGCCCTGAACCCTACACGCTTAATCCTGCACCGCTACCCCGAACCTCAAACCGCTCAACTCTGACGTTTGGCATAAACTATCCTGTACAAGCAAGTTATCAAAAGACGTACAGCACCCTTTGCAAAATCTTTGAGAGCCACACTTAGCTTCTTGGTACGCTAACCACCGGATCCCGGATTTTTAGGCCAAAGGTTTTGTAGGCTCAAGGTTAACTTCAAACTTCGTGACCGTGAGAGCTTGAATTACAGGGTGTTTACATGCTTCTAGAAGTGTTTTTTAAGTATACGTAAGGGTGTTGTACATACAAGGCGCTATAGTTTATGTCGTATGTCCGTCTAGTCCAGAACTATGCTATCCTAAACCCCGAGCTTACCTTTGGTTAGTAGGGAATGGAAGAATGGTAGTAATAGTAGTTATTATTATTGTACCTCATTCCTCCATTCCCCTACTAACCAAATATTCTAGTACCCTTATAGATTCCCTTATACTAACCCTTATAGACCCCTTTATAAGCCGCCCAGGTGTTCCCTACTAAGGTAAGCGAGCCCGTGACTCCTGTTGCTCAGGTGCCCGGCCGGGCGTTGGAGCAACTCCTCTGGCCTGGACTCTCTGGTACCGAGGCTAAACCCTAGCCCTCCAAGGACGTCATAGTTAGCGCCCTAAACCCCTTAGGGACCCCATAATAAGGTTCCCGGAGGCATAGGGAAACAAGAAGATTCAGGTTCAGCGGTCCTAGGATTTGTTGGGTGTTGGGCTTCAGGGTGTTTTTTAGGGCTGTCGGTTTCAGCAGGCGTCGTCACGGAATACCCTGTACCCGTTGCCTTAAATCCTATACATCCTGAACCCTAAACCGGAGCCCAAGACCTTCTGAGGCCAAGTGCACCGCGTGCCAGCCCGGCACCTGGAGCGGCATGGCCGGCGCTACGGCGGCCGGGGTCTGCACCGAGTGTGAGGCGCTCCGCTTCCTTTTAGAGGGTTCCCATAATAAGGACTACTATAGGGGTACTATGAGGGATCTATAAGGGTATACTATAAGGGGTTCTATAATGTAGGAGGCCAAAATTGGGGTTTTAGCCTATGGGGGTTTAGTGGGGATTGGGGTTCCCATGATTGGGTTCATATGAAGGAATCCCTAACCCAAGAATCTTAAACCACCCTTTTGGCTCCAATCATTTTGGGGTTTACAAGGCGGGGCTCCCATGAAGGATTCCGGTCAGGTTCCCTTATTGCACTAGTCTATACAGTAAGAGTTTATGAGAGATCGCTAAGGAAGGGTTGGGGGCTAGGGCTTCAGGGCTTTTGAGATCATCACTGCCTTGGAGATGATTGTGGGGGGAGGGGGGGGGGGTGAGGACCTTAAACGATTGAAGAAATCCGGAATCATTTCTGCTACCCCCAAAATGATTGCAGACGGGGTTTTGCGGCTCCCAGGAGAGCTTTGAGTAGATCCTGGAGACACATGCCCGACCGCTTCAGCAAGAGTTCATGCTGTATGTGATGGTCCATTGCATTCATTTCGCTATAGTCCGTTTCGATGCCCCGCGACTTTTCTTGGTTCAGTCCGTCTACCGGGGTGCCGTTGTCGCTCAGAGGCCCTCGCCCTGGTTTCCTGGGGTCCTTGTATAGTAAGCTCAGTAAGTTAACGTCTGTGCCAGGCTCCGTGGTTTTCTGCCGCCTTATACGAAAACAGTTTAAACCCGTTCAATTGATTGTAAGAGCCTCTTGTTTTCCTGTTGCAGGGGCTGTCGGGGCCTGACTGATTGCCTGTACGAGTTCCTCGATCGAGGCATATATTATATAGTTGTGGTTTGACCGCGAGACCTTACACCTTCAGCCCTAAAACCTAGTTCCAGCAACAATTCGCCCGTTCTGCCTCCGGAGGCCGGCAGGTGGAGCCCTCAAATTGCCGCCGTGACGGAAACCGTCTGTGTGGCCTGCACGGCTGGCCGCTACAACGAGAAGGTCCCTTCTTCAGCGGCGCAGCGAGGTTTCGGGTTATGGAAGGTGTGCAAAAACTTCAGTGTTCTGAGTTACATATTTGATGATGGTGGCCATCGTTATTCAGGGCATGCTGAAGTTGTACATATATATATATATATATCGGATTCAGGATTCTTGGGTTCAGGGCTTGCTTAAATGTTGTTTTGGGGTTCGGGGTTCGCAATGCGGGAGTCTGAGGTGGACCTGAGATTTCTACACGCTACATCTCCAACCCTTGCCTTAGACATCAGTTCGGAGGCAGGTGCGTCTGAAGCGCAATCAGCCGTTCTGTTGCAGCCTTACCTTTGAATGTGGGCCTCGCCGCGCCCAACTAAGGTCTAAACCTCAAACCATAGACCCGGCAACCCTAGACGCCAGAATCTGAAAATCGAACCCAGTCTTTGATCCACAACGGCACTATAAGATTCCTGCAGAGCCCCTACAAAAAAATCTGCCAACTCCGAAAGCAGTGGGCCGGGGTTCAGGCTTTCGGGGAAGCTACTTAAAGGATCATGGGACTTAGTAACTAGGGTTATGATTAGGGTAACTATACTTATAACCCCAATTAAGGTACTTATAACCTTACTTACTAAGTCCTATGATCCCCATTATAGAACCCCTATGGATCCCTTTAAGGAACCCTATTATAGAATCATAAGGACCCCTAAACCGCCTTACTTACTAAGTCCTAGGATCCTCCAAGCACGCCTAAAGCCCTGATGGTCGAGGCGGGGTCCTCCGACTTCGACGCCTGCATCTCCTGCAAACCTGGCACATGGAGTGGCAAGGCCCGTTGTCTTGTTTTAGAGTTTTGGGCTTTGGGGGTTTATGAAGCGGTGGTTTGGGGGGGTTTATGAAGCGATGGTTTTGGGGGTTTTGGGGTTTTTGGTTTGGGGTTGGGGGTTGAGGGTTTAGGACGGGGGGGGGGGGGGGGGGTGCGGGGAATGGAGTGGCAAGGCCATCGATTTTTTTGTTGTTGTGGGAGGAAAAAGGGGGGCCGCGACTAACCTCTTAGACTTTCAAGTTCGAGATACTGGAAAATATTTCCGGGGCTTTTTGCCAATTATGAAGCCGCCTAGATCTCGGTTGCAGATTATACTTAAAGGATCATGGGACTTAGTAACAAGGGTTATAATTACATAGGGTAACTATACTTTTAACCCCTATTAAGGTACTTATAACCTTACGTACTAAGTCCCATGATCCTCCAAGTAGGGTGCTATGAGGGTTTGCTTGTTTGGTTTGGGGGTTTCTTGGAGGCCTAAGGGTGCCTTGGTGTTGGAGGCATTTGAGTGTTCCAGGTTCTAAGCGTCTTGTAAGCTTTCTACAAGCAATAATATACTAATATACCAATATAACAATATAATAATATGATAATAACCGTATAAAAAATAATATAATAAGGGTTTGAATGTTTTAGGGTTTGGAGCTCAGGGCTCGGGTGAGGGCTTCGAGGTTGAACGCCTGGTTTCGGGTTACAGTTAGGGTTTCGATTTTGGGGTTTTGGCGTTCAACGGTTTGGGGTTTGCGGTTAGGGTGATGCCTCGAGACGAAGCCTTCAGCAAAGGCCCAGCGAGAACTCTGGTCTTCCAGTGGTATGCTACAGACGACCCTAGCATGGTGCCATGATAGACCACAAGTGCACTGTGATAACTGACTCACCTGGCCTAGTCTCCTCCTTACTTCCGATGCGCATGGGCTCTGAGCCACAAGCAGCAGTACCATTCACTATTCTGTCATGACTCGTCATGACTCTCGCACTATATAGCTGAAGTCTCATGTTCCCACTCTCTTGCTTTATATAGCTGAAGTCTCATGTTCCCCCCGAGCCTTTTGCTAGATGTTTAGGCCATGTGATTCATTCCACCCGTTTCCATCCTCCTTTGCCCGTCGCTAGATTGGTGCGGACACCGTGGGGGTTTGCGAAGCTTGCCCAGCAGGCGCGACATTTCGGACTCCTATTTCCATGCCTGAGGTTAGATTGTGTTACAGATTGTAGACGCCCAGCCACCTAAATCCGAAAACTGAAGCTGGAGAACCTGGCCCTATACCCCCTCTCCAAGAAACAAGCGCAGCTTCGATCCCTTCGGCTGAGATGCCAAACCTCGTTACTCTAAACATTCAGCCCCCGTTGCTAGAGCACTCCGACCTCGGAGTTTGATGCTAAGCTGCACGTGCTGTGGCTGCGTACGGGTCAAGCCTCCGCAGATGTTGTTGATACAACACTTCGAAATTCTGAAGCTGAGACTGTTCAGACTCGTGGCTCCCTACTCACTCTTATTAACCCCAGCAGCCTAACCAGATTTTCAGCGTGAATCTGGGGGCCATGTGCTATGTACTCTACTACTGAGGGCTCAGTGTTGGAGGCTTCGGGTGTTCCTTCCCTGAACAAATGAGCCCCAAATCTCAATCAAGCTCTAAATCCTATCTGCCTATACAGCCCGAATAAAACCTTATGAGACACAGTATAAAGCCCATTGTCAACCCTAAACTGTTGGGGTTAGGACCCCCCGATTATGCCGAAGGCGTGTGGGCCGTACACGTAGTCGTAGCGCTGGCGGGTTTAGGATTGAGGATGTTCAGCTGCATGATGTCGGGAATGAGTTTGTAAGTCTGAATATTCCTGTTGCCTCACTAGTGCTGAGGCTTGAATAAGCACCAAGATGGGGTCAGGTGATGCAAACGGATATGTCAAGCCCCAAAACATGATGCTGTAGAAGATTGGGCTGGGGGCCGAGACCGAAAGCATCGGCTTCTTTCGCAGTCTAGCGGTTGTCCGTGCATGCAACTTTCTAGGAAACTTTGTCACCCTGAGCCCCGCATGTGTGTGTATATATATATACATATATATATACATACATATACATATATATACAGATGTAAATATGTTTGCATGTCTGTATATATCTATATACATACATATATATATATACATATATATGTATATATAAATCATACTGGGCTGAAAGAACTAGGAAGCCAACTTCCTGCAACAGGTTGAAACAAAAGGCCTTACACCCTCCCTGCAAGATGTTGAAGGCAAGTGGAGCCCGGCCAAGGGCGCAACCTTCCCAGAGACCTGTGCCAGCTGCCAGCCCGGCCACTCGCCTCATTCTGCTTGAAGTAAACCCCATAAAGTTGGAAACCGGATTAAGGCCAAATAGTGCTGGGATTCCTTATACATTACTCTTAAGGATTGAGGCTTTTGGGTTTCCAACTTTTTGGCTTCTACTGTACTCTGGTCTTAGGGATACCTAGCAATTATCGCTACTTGTTGATTTGTGGTTCCTCTAATCCCTAAGAAACAGCTAAAATTATGATTGTTGCTGGGGGTATACCCTATATAGGACCGAGCCTCAATAATTACCAAGACTATTCTGGGGGTTCCTTGTTATAATTGTAGTAAAGTGGGCCGTTAAGCCCATTCTAAATGTTAAGGCCCTTATAGTATTCTGATCATCTAAGGCAGTATTCTTCCCGTTATTGCTACGAAGTTGTGGTGGCTGTTAGTGTCATCAATGTTACACTTTTTGAGGGAGAGCTCAGGCTGCTTTCTCACAACTGCATTTTAGTCTCCTGACCCTCAACAAATCCGCATAAACCTGACCGGTATGGAAACAAGTAAAAGACATGCCTCAAGCAATTAGAGCGGCCTGTGCTTGCCCGTTGCAGCCCTCCCAAAGCTTGAAGCCCTTCGCGCTGCGTCACGTGGTCTGGGCATCAGACCATCACCGGAAAGGAGCCTGAACAATATTTTGGTTTGGGGTATGTGTTAATTAACTCCTAGGCTCCCCTCTTCATTAGAGTGCCGAGTTTTGTCATCCGGAAGAAGAGCAACTGCAACAGGTCCTGCACTACACGAACATTCTATACCTAAATTCAGGTTTTGCAGCACAGAAAACCTAAGGTACGAAACTTGCACCGAAACCCTTAGCCCTAAATCCCTAAACCCTGCACCCCAAACCAAAGACCGTTAGAACCCACGACCTGACCCAAGTCGCGAGGAACATACAGCAGCACCAAGGGCGCCTCTTCCCAGGTGCCAGGGATGGATGCGGTTTGCAATAGATACCAAAAAAAGGTTACTTTCCCAACAGAGTTATGGTTCAAAAGTTATATATACTTTAATATAGGAGTACGGACGGTGCGACCAATCCAAGGATTGAAAGAATTTGGGGCATGAAGGATCCAAAGGATTTGGCTTGATCTGTGGACCCCTCATTGACTCTCCCTCCGCACTACTATTACTACTAGTACCATTATTACTAATATTACTATTATTACTACTATCACTACTATTACTACTATTACTACTATTAGTAGTATAGAACTCATAAGCATGAGCACATGAGTAGGGATCCTGATGCTGAGATATGCTGAGACTTGGCTTCATTTTCTATGTTGCACAGTCCAAATCCAAAATCAGCATGGTCATCAACAAATGCCTCTTTCTCTATCTTTTTATCTCCTAGCTATACATACATACATTTATATTATATATGTATAGACTGTATCGATATAGTCCGATATAGTGATCTCTGGACCCGACGATTCTACCTCTTGCACAGGACTTCTGCGAGAAGTGTGGCCCGGGCAAGTACAGCGAGGACGGGGTGGGTTCCTTTCAAGGGTTCTGTAAGGATCTATAAGGGTACTATAGTGTAGGGTTTAGGGGGAGTAATATAGGGGCCTCAATAATGAAGGTCGGGTTCCTTTAACGGGGTCTTCAAGGGCGGCTATGAGGGCTATTATAAGGATTTAGTATAGGGCTTCAAGAGTTACCCATTACTGCTTGGGGGGTTCCTTATTGTAATTATAGTAATGAGCCCCAAAACCCTATTTCTAATTATCAAGGCGCCTATACTATCCGCTTGTCAGCATGTCGATCAATATGCATTACATGCGCGTGCCACTTTTCAGAAGCGTTGAGCCTGAAGGGTTCAGACCGTCAAGCTTGACAAGTTTGAGTGTCAGCACCAGAGGCCCCTAATTACGCCCAAGATTTGCCAGAGCAGTGTAACCCGTCAAGCACGCGGGTTGGTCTATCTCCGAAGCACTAAGCAAACATTCCCGCTTTGCAGTAGGATTTCTTTCCAATGCCACCCTTCTGGGATCGCTGGTACCATGGGTATGCTTGCGACTATTCCGATTCTCTCGACAGCTGTGACGAAGACTTTAATTTCAATACGATGGTTGATTTCAAGTTTCAGTGCCCCTCAAAAGGGTCATTTAGCAACGGGAAGAGTCTTCGTTGCATCCGCGGCATCATGGAGCCGGTTCTTGCAGATCCGAAACCCCCTCAAGCAAAGTAAGGAATGCATCTTACAGGAGAACCATACTCATATCCATAGCCAGAGCCAATAACAACATGGAAGCTCCAGTAGTAGTTGTTAAAAAATATGTGTATGTATAAATATACATACATACATACATACATACATACTTACATACATACATAGTATACGTACATGTATACATATATGTCTGTGTGTATGTTTGCATGCATGCATGCATGCATGCATGCATGCATGCATGTATGTATGTATGTATGTGTGTGTATGTATGTGTACAAAGCGCTGTTGCTTTCTTTATGTCTGAACACAAATACATAAGTGCTGGCTTTTACCAGGTGACGGCAGCAACCAGCGAAGCCACCTGCACCAAGTGTGGCAAGGGCACCTACCAGTCCGGCGCCGAGTGAAGAGCAACGTCTTTCTGTGAATCGGTGGGGGTTTTCAGCATTTAGTGTCCGTGCGGGAGTTGAAGGTGGGAGATGCTTTTTGGGGTCTGACAGGTTATCTTGTTTCTCGACTGCTGGTGGTTATTAGTTCTTCCGCGACAACTTCGGATGAAGCTGAAGGGATCCAGACTATACAGGTTAATGATGCTTTTGTTTTGCGGGAGCTGATCAGAATTTCGTTGGATGCTTAACTGCAGTTCTATGTTATCGTCAGGATCCTTTGATCTGGACATGGCAACCTGAGAAGTGTTTTCACTTGACATCGTAAACCTCAAGCCCGAACACACCAGCCCTAAGCCCTAAAAGCCGAAACCTCTAAGCACTCAACAACTCCAGAGAAAGCCGTAAATCCGACGAAACCCCGAGAAACCCTTTCTTTCAAGCCACAACACACCCTTATTTCTCACGGCAGCGGAGGCCCATCATCGCTGCGGGCAACCACACACTTTGCATCCCCTGCTCGGCCGCTCGACCGGGGTTCGGATCTTGTCAATTACCCAGACCTTCCAAAATCCCTCAATTAAGGAATATACCTTAATTCATATTTGGGATCCTATTATGATGTAAGGGTTTTTGGAAGGTCTGGGAATTAATGCAACTTAAATAACAGCTACCACAACAAGGAGACAGATCATTTACTCTAAATCCCTAGTGTGGTAGCTTGAACTAAGTTCCTTACCAAGAACCCAGTGCTGGTTCGGGGAGAGCCATGGTTTAGCGTGCAGGAGCGGTTTCGGGCTTTTGGGCTTGTAGATTGTAGATAAGGGTTTTTAGGGCTTCAGGGGTTATGGATTGGAGTGTTACGGTGTTCGGGTTCGGAGGTTAGGGGTTCATGGCTGAGGCCGAAGTTACCGTGGCCTTGCTGGTCCTTGTGTCAGTCTGAAAACTTTTCCGTGACAGTTTCCACGGAATGCAGCTGTGCCGTCAAGCCGTTTCCCCAGCCTGGGAAGGCCAAAGCACTCCCTGCGATTGAATCTCCCTTGACCCCTGGTCTTGCGGTGAAGAGGATACAGTGCTCCCCGTTACCGCTAGACCGTGAGTTATCAGAAGCTTTGCTTTCAAGTCTATCTCGGTGGCTTCTGATCAATAACGGAGGGCACAGCATCGTTCGTCAGGGTTCTGGCTCTGCTACACTTTGCATATATATATATATATATATATATCATGTGCCACACACACATAGATGTAGACATACATACACATAAACTTACGGAAAATGTGTGAATACACACACACACACAACCACTTCGCTGCAAGGTTGGCAATTTCAGCAAGAGCGTTGGCGTTGCCATGTGCGAGATGTGCCCGGCAGGTTCTCCGGCCGAGATAGCTGTGCATCGGATCGGTGGGAGTTTCATGAGCCCTCAGTATGAGGATCCTTATTGTAAGATGGACACCCAAAGAAGCGACGCTAGTTTTCTGAAACTCCCAGGTTTGCTCCAGGCGTGTCGCTTGAGCCCGCAGACGAAGACTGACCCCAAGAACCTGAACCGTTCACCCCTGATCCCGGAACTCCTAGCCTTGCCGCAGTAGGGTAGAAAATGCTAGTAACACCCAAAGAGCTAAACTGGATCTCTTGGTAGCCTCCCTGGACCTGAGTATCCTCCCTCAGCCCCTGAAGCCCTAAAACCCTGAATCCCTCGATCTGAGCATCCTCCCTGAACCTGAGAAGTAGCCTCCAGGCAGCTACGGCGACGACTTCGGCATGACTGGCTGCAAGTCTTGTCCTGAAGGCGGGAGAGGAGGGTTATGCGAAGGTTGTTTGAAGGGCTCCGAAAAGGCTTCCTCAAAGGGATCCTATTTAGGGCTTAGGCTTCCTCAAAGGGCCCCATAAGGGCTTCTGTTTAGGGTGTAGGGTTCCTTAGAGGGTTCCTGAAAGGATTTCTCAGGTTATTTGATTTGGGTTTTGGAGTATATTGGGGTTTCCGAAAAAAGGGGACCCTAATATAGTACCCTAAATAGTAGGATCCTTATTATAAGGGCCCCAAAATAGGGTACCACTAGTTTTCGGAAACTCCCATATGGGTTTTGGTTTCTTTTGAAAGGTTCTCAAAGAGCATGTCCTAGTTGCAATTTAGGTCCACCTGCCGGCTCAAGGATCCGTAGCATTGCAGGTTCAGAGCAGGGCCAAAGACTCCACAGCTTTGCGACCCCTAAACCCTAAACCCTAACCCTTAATCCCGACACCCTAAACCCTAAACCCCTCAACCCTAAACCCTAACCCTTAATCCCGACACCCTAAACCCTAAACCCCTAAACCCTAAAAACCCTAAACCCCTACACCCCCAACCCCATGGATGACAGGATGAGAGCTCAACCCTAAAGCCGATGCCCTGATGCCTCGCAGTGTAGAAGCTTCTCGAACCCTCCAGAAGACTCCGAGCCAGAAGGGAGTTTCCGAAAATAGGGGTACCTTATTTTGGGGTCCTTATAATAAGGATCCTAATATTTAGGGTACCATATTAGGGTCCCCTATTTGCGGAAACTCCCAGAAGGCTTTTAATTTTACCGTCAAGCCCCAAAAGCCCTTATATAGGGGCCTCAGTGTAATTACCTATACTAGTTTGGGTTCCTTATTATAGGTATACTATAATGGCCCCAACGCCCTCTTCTAATTATTCAGGCCCCTATATTTTTTCCAGAACCCTACTCCAGATCTCTATAGACACCTTTTTAAGGACCCTTTAAAGGAACCCTGTTCTAATGATTGAGGCCCCTAGAGTAAAGCAATAACCAGGCACCTGGACCAGGGCCGAAGGCTCTTTCCGCAGCGACCAGTGCCTGTGATTGAATCTAGGGTTTAGGGTTATAGGGCTTTTAGGGTTTAGGGTTTAGGGTTATAGGGCTTTCAGGGTTTAGGGTTATAGGGCTTTTAGGGTTTCGGGTCTGGGGTTATAGGGCTTTTACAGAATTTCGGGCTGGGTTTGGGCAGTTTGGGCGGGTTTACGGCTTAGAGTTGGTTTATGTACCCGAGTACTTGTGTTGTCAGGGCTGTTTGTATTAAGCCTTGAGCCTTAAACCGTGAAGCCCTGCAGTCAGACATCCCGAGAACAGAGGGTGCTTCTCGGGCCGCTTTGCCAAAGATTAAAAGTCTGCAACACTATCCCCTTTATTGTGGTGTAGAGAAATCCTGCCGCTTGAAGAAAGGAGTAGCATTTGCGGCCTGGGTGGCAGGATGTAAATCAGGGTTTGAGTCCCTCGGAGTTGTGGTCGGTGTTTACTATGTTTTCTCCTTAGAGATTTGTTGGATGTAGGGCATTAGAACTTTGGGGCATTTGGGGTTTCGCAACGTAGGAGCGATTGAGGTTTCGGTACTAATGAGGTATTATGGAGTTTGACTTTGCGATGACTTTGGCTAGTTTTTTTGTGCTTCAGGTTCCTTTCAGGTTTCCAATTCAGGGCCGTCACTTTACTTGGAGGGTCGGGGGACTTAGTAACTGGTTATTTTAGGGACTTATAAGTATCATAACCCCAATTAGGGTCCCTTTTAGGGTACTTATAAGTCTGCTTACTACCTACTTACTAAGTCCCCCGACCCGCCAAGTAGGGCATGGATAGCCTCAGGTGCAGCAGCTGGATCAAGCCGCCTGCGAAGAAGGCGAGGGCCGCCCTGACTCCGAAATCACTCAACTGAAAACCAGAGTTCCTGAGGACCCTTACTAAGCCCAAATGCCATTTCCAACAGAGTCCCTTTACACAAAACTCCAAACCCTAAACTCTCAACCTCAAATCCCAACACTCTAATCCTTAACATGACAAGCCCGAAAACCCAGCAAACTCCCCACACGCTTGGTCATCAATCCTTTCGTTTATGTCTACGTGTCCCCTGGCTTCAGTGCTCCTGTACGGAATGTCCCGTCTGCACAACTGGTTGGCATCACTGAAGGGCTCTGATTGCAGGATCCTCATACAAAGCAATTCTTGATGGAGTGAAGCGACAATTAAATTTAGCCCCTCGCCGGAGGTCATTGTGGAGGCCACAGACGAGAAGGAGGAGAAAGAAGAGAAGGACGACAAGGAAGAGAAGGAGGAGAAGCAAGAGGAAGAGGACTCTTTGGGGCTGATGTGGACGAAAGAGGGGTGAGTTCAGAGTTAAAATATATATACAGAATATATATATATATATATATACATATACGTACATACATATTATATATCTCGCTTTTGGGGCAGAGAGATCCAATGTATGGACGCAGCCCTTACATAATATATATATATATATATATATATATAGGGGGGACCGAAATAGTTACCAATCCGATTTTGGAGGTTACTTGTTACAGTTATATTACAATATGCCCCCAGAAGAACCCTATTCTAATTTTGAAGGGAATGACACTAGTGAGTGACCAGGAGGAGAAGATGCCGTGGGATGAGCACGTCACGGAGGAGAAGGAGCCTTGCAAAGATTGTGGGACTCATTCTGCGCTTCGCTCGAAGCACTAAGCCTGACTGTTCGGACCAGTCGCTAGCACCGCTAGCAGCAAAACGGATGTTTAGATATTGTTGCTTGTACTTATACAATGTATAAGTATAAGCAACAATATCTAAACGGATAATCATGTCATGATTCCCAGCAGTCGGAACTCTCAGTCTTATGAGTATCATGACAGTCACAATATGATCGTCATGCTCGTCACGGCATTCACAGTGTGTGTCCGCGATTCACTAGAGTCAGAGGCAACCATACTTCAGACTTCTCGGGAGCTTTGTATTGTCGGCGGGCCCAGGATGCATGGAATCTCAGTCCTAGGACGAAGTCGACTTGAAGGGCTGGCAGCATCATACGTAGATTCGAACTAGAGTCTAGGTTTAGAGTGACAGTGTGCAGTTATGCCGTCTCTGCCAAAGCTCTTGCCGCCAACCTGAACCTCTGAGCAGAAGGGATAGCTGGAGTCGATCCAAAGCTTAGGAGTGTTTTGAACCTGGCAAAAGAGGTGTTGATTGTTGAAGGGGGTGGGTTTTATGAGTAGCAGCGGTGGTGGTTGCCACACCGGGCGCCAGAGCAAACGATTTTGAGCCTGAGCCCTCGAAGCCTGAACCCCGAAACCCTGAAACACCACAGACCCGGAACTTAAACTCTGAACCACCAAACCCCCAGTCTGGACCCAAAATAGAACCGCCGAGCCAACATCATTTTCGAGAGGAGGACGAGGAAGAGAAGGAAGAGAAGAATGATCCCCCTCGCTGAGAGAGCAAGCCAGGCTGCTCGGGCTCCCATTTGCTTTGATATATATATATATATAGATTTATATGGGTGGTTGTCAAAATTATGGTCCCTTTTTGGGTACCCTGCATATCAGGTGCCGTATTATAATAAGGACCCAAAACGAGACCCTAATATTGACAACCACCATAGGGTGCTATAGGGTTTCAGGGTCTAAGGTGTGGTATAGAAGCTTGGATAAATTCCATCATTATCTGCGTAGGGATGAAATAAAATGTGATCAAGATATACACCGGAACCCTAGTCCAATCATTCAGGGCCCCCAATATAAGGGGTCTGGGGTCCGTATACGGCAGTAAGTAAAGGAATTTGAGGTTCAGGGCCCCCATTGAAGCTTGGCCGGGGTAAATGAGTTACATGGGTACACGGCACGGTTGCTACTTTCACAACGTGCGGGCCTGATGGTGACTAACTTTGCTGGATGCCATGGATGCCATGCTTGTGAATATTCAGGCCATGGAAGCCACTCCCAACATGTGTCTTATTGTACTACGACGTTTACTTTACCTACGACTCTAGCTTTCCGAGCCTAGATTGTGCTTTGTCGCCAGGGCGCCGTTCGCTTAACTAGCTGCAATTGGACATGTTAGTCTTTAGTCTTTACATACAGGAGAATCGAAGTTCATAATATTATAATATAAAGTATCATATACTACACTTCGCATGATGGTATAATATGTAAGGTATATGTCTATGCATGTATGTATATATATATATATATATATATATATGTATATATAGTATTCTGCATCGTTGCGTGGCGCCTGTGCCGAGGCCTTCCACGGGCCCGGCTCTATGAGGGAGAATGGCCTGGGATCGACCAGAACTCAAGTTAAGAGTCTTCAGATGTTGTTTCGTACATGCAACTTAACTTCTTTGGTGTTTCCAGGGGGTCTGATTGAAGGGTGCGGAGTTCCAGCTGGTAGCGGTTTATGGCGGCAGCTTCGGGATGAATCGGGTTTCAGGGATTGTCTGATACTGTTTTTTTGAATATATTCCATATTGGTATCAGAAATGCTTGTATATCGTATATAAGCCACCATCCAAGCCTGGCCCACGCACACGAGGTGGATACCCGTCATGCGAGCCCCAAGCGGTCGATTATTGAAACGCAGATTTTCTGAGTCCTTCTCGTTACCAGGCCGAACTAGTGTTGCCGTGTCGTTCACGTGTCTCTCTTTTGAAAGCTTTGGCTGCTCTCTGCGCAGCCGAAATGGCGGACTGGTCAGGAAACACAGTCGGAGTCCTATACCAAGCTAAGCCTGCACCCTTCCCCTTCACGATTCTGTAGGCTATGCAGGGGTCTCTGTTTCGGATCCGCTTTGCTGGAAGTCTTCTCTATGTATGTATACAAACACATACACCTATGTTTACACACATATACTTGTACATACGAACTTGCACTGCATGCGTACATACAGTGCATACAGTACATATGTAATGCATATAATATGTTACATACATTACGTACATACATACATGCATACATACAAACAAACATACATACATTTAACATGTATGAACAGCTCATCACTTACATGCATACATGCATGCATACATACAGACATATCATGTATGTACATATCTGTATACATATGTACAAGTGCATACATTTCCCAATCCCTTGAAATCTCTTCATAGCCCCGTTCCGAAATTGCCTGACACCACTTCCCATCTGTCGAAATGGCAGTGTATGGGAAGACTTGAGCCCGCCAGTCTTTGAACTGAATAGGCGCCATCAGAGCAGATTTCGATGAAGATTTAGGGTTTAGGGTTTAGGGTTTCTTCAGGATACATAGGGGGAAGGGGTCGGCCAACACTCACCCTGATGCCGCACAGCTGTTTAACACCGCATTGTCGACGCCCCAGGTTTTTGGGTGGGTGGTCGAGGGCTTGGGGCGCTAGGGGTTTCCGTCGGCATCCACTGCCCCAAAACCGGGATGAACTTTCGCCTGGTCTGTTCCGTGGACCACGTTGGTCCTTTGAGTTTCGTCGGCATGAGTCGTATAGTCTGTAAAGCTTGCATTGGGAGACTGCACTTCGGCCTTGCATCCCCCGGTTTACAAGTTGATCCCCAGAACCCGTCTCTTACCTTGCTCAGCTCTATACGTACCTAGGACACAGTTCGCACAACGAACCCCATCACCCAGTTCTGATTAAGTATTCGCGTCCGTAGAGTGCCTCAGAGTTCGTCACTCTGCCATACCGACTCCACTCCCAGGGATCGAGATGTAGCTGCAGCCTGCTCTGATGCACTTGAACACCTAGTTCTGTGCTGTGGTGCTCTTCCTGGCCCAGGGTGTAACTACTGACGAACACTTGAGCCCTAACGTCGAATCAGCCATTAGGAAGCAGAGCACAGTCTAAGGGCTTGCGGGATGTGCGAGATAGAGAGTAGGGCTATGCGCTTCGTCTGTGTGTTTTCAGTTTGTGAGGCTTCAGTGGTTGTCGAAGAAGATTTTATGTAGTGCTCAAACCCGGCAACCTCGATTGGAGGTTTGCAGTGCCCGCCTCACGTACGCCAACAGCACATTACCCCGTAAGCGCTGTATCTGACTTGGAAGCCCGCAGTTGCACACCCGGCCTTCCCCACTTCAACATACAGAACGTCCTTCAGTTTCTTGGTGATTGCTCCGTTCTTACGTAGAAGACAGAAGCTTCTCTATTCAGCACCCCGTCACGCTAAAGGATCCGAAGCCCCAAACCCCCAACCCTAAACCCCTATAAACCCAGAACCCATTGAGAAGGCTCAAAATGGCCACGAGAGCTCACAGCCAGAATCCGGCCCTAGACTAAAGTTTGAGATCTGGCACTGCCTCAATGCTGTCAGTTTCGGGTTGAGAGTTCAGAGTTAGGGGCTTAGGGTTCAGGGTTTAGGGTTTAGGCTAGGGATGAGGGTTTAGGGATTACGGCTTAGGCTTTAGGGTTAACTACTCAGTGCTTGTTCTATCTACTGTGGTCCTGTACTTGGACTGGCACCCATTCATGAATGATTTCTGCAGTGTATGGTTTTGTTGTCATCAAATCCTGAAGTCTTCTACACCCTAACCCCAAGCCCTGGAAGACCACAACAAGCTCTAGGCTCTACAGCCTAAAACCTTCAAACCCAAACCCTTCAACCAAGAAAGAAGCCCACATGAGGAACTCCTGAAGCCAATGATCCCTTCGTACATGTTTAGGGTGTGGGGGTTTAGGGTTCAGGGTCTTCCAAGGTGAGTTGTTTTTACGGCCGCTCATAGTCGTCACGACGGCGCAAAGGCTGTGCCAGGAAAGCTCAGAACTCTAGCCAAACTTTCACGCGGAATGGTGAAACAGCTGGCAGGCCTCCCAGTCGGCCCTTTTCCCTTTCGGCCCTTTTCCCTTTTGGGGTTCTTGAGTTCCTTATAAAACTCAAAAGGGAGCCCTTTGTATCCCGAGGTTACCTAGACTGTGTATCGCTCGAGATCACGGCAACTTCCCGGACTCTGGACTGTCCCAGCCCAAGCCCACACTCCCAACCCGAAGCCCAAACCCCAATCCCTTATGGAAACCCCTTTTAGGTGCTGTAGACTCCGGACAGGCTTGGAAGCCCTTGTATGTAGTAATTCGATTGGTAGAAGTATTTGTAGTACCCCATGTAACCGTAAACCCAAAACGCTTCGATGCTAGCGGCGAGGAGGCCCCTCGGCCGGATGACGTCCCACTCTACGTCTTCATGGCGCCTTGACGTGCGGGGTTTCTACTACTTGTTGGATTTGGGGTTGAGGGTTGGGGGTTTAGTTTTTGAAGTTGTGGACTCGGGGTTTGGGGTTTACTTCTGGTGTTCTACGACCTTTTTGGGCAGCTGTGTCTTGCTAACGCAGTTGGGTTTGGTGGAGTTTCGGTTCAACCTCAGCCCTAATAATGCCCAAAGCCCGCACAAAAGTTGAAGCCCAACCCTGTTATGAACGCAAACATGAACCTGTACGGAGATGAAACCAAGGACGCCTCGGCAGTGAATTGCTTCATCGAGAGGGAGGCGGGTTCTGCGAGCTCCTTGAAAGGGTTCCTGTGAGGGTTCCTCGCAGGGTTCCATAAGGGTCTATAGCTTGTTCTATCAAGGGTCGGTCTAGCATTGAGATTGAAGGGTCTAGCATTTAGGGTATCTGGAGTTGGGGTTGGTGGAGAATTTCAGGGTTAGAGTTCAGGGTTTTGGGTTGGTGTGCTCTGTCAGAGTTAGAGTTTAGCTCATGGAGAGCTTGCCAAGGGGTGTTCTGCTGGCTTTGAGTTGATGCTTCCGTGAGTCACACCCTCCTGCCTTCAGCCTTGCAAGTATCCTGCTCGTAGTCCCGAATCCCCACTTAAGCCCTAAACTCTAAACTCTGGACCTCTAAGCCTACATCCGGAAACCCTCGAATCGCCAAGCCCCCAATCACGAGACTCGAGCCGAGAGAATTAGAATTGAAGTAGGCGAACAAAGAAGCGGCTATAACCTTGCCCTTGAGAGGACTCCCTCTTCAGCTTTCACGGGCTGCTCAACCTTTGCGAGCAGCGCTTGATGTGCCATCCCCCTTCGCAGAGTTTTCGGGTTCAGGGTTTGGGGGGAGTTGAGGGTTTTATAGGTTTTTCCGATTTGGGGAGTTGCAGGGGTGACTGGCGGTTTGGGGTTTATTTAAGGTGCCGTTAGGGTTTCAGAACTCCAAACCTTGACATCAACACTTGTAAATTCATACATGATATGTTACGAGGGGTGGTGGAGGTAGCGTACAAGCTGACGCCGATGTAGGATCATGCTCTGCCTCCTTCGAGAGCAGAGCTTAGGGCTATGGGTTCAGGTCTTTGGGGTTGTTGGTTGTGAAGCTTTGAAACTTCACAGGCTTGTTGCGTAAGGTCATCGCTGACTGACTGAGCAGTGCATCAGTCCAACCCGACTTTTGCGAAAGGTTGAGTTGAGAAGCACACATAGGTAGCTGTCGTTTAACACAACTCTGCAGGTTACTTCAGTAGCTTTAGTTCAGCTCTTAGCTACCAGCAAGAGTTGATGTATCTTGCTCACAAGCTCAGTTCTCCGAATCCCTGAAGCGCCAAGCTTACGATTATTGTAAACTTAGTAAGGCCCTGAATCGAATGCCTGTCTGAATCGGAAACTCCAAACCCCATAAATCCTGACCCTAAACCCGAATCCCTCAATCCTCTGAGATCGCAAAACATCCGCAGGCCTAAGCCTAAGCCCCAAAAGACATTCAAAGATTCTAGGAATCCTACACACACAGTAGTCTGGCCTCTATCTCCCCTGCGTCGCTGCCGCCCGGGCTCGAGCTGACAGAGCCTTCTGCGCCGCAGTGAGCCGCGAAGTTTGCAAAGCTCGCGCGCCGGCCCCAGGTGAAGCCAGGGTTAGCTTTTAGGGATACAGCATGATTTCGCGGAGAGTAAAAGCTCAAACACCCTGGCTCCAAGTTCCGAGATGCCCGAAACCAAGAACTGCAACCCGGACAAGAAGGACCCCAGAAATGACCTGTGCATGTGTTGGATGTGTAGTATAAGGGCAAGTATTTTTCAGGTTGATGATTAGCTCGCTGCAGGGTTCATGGTTTGCATGATGTCGGTGGATGTAAGGGAACCAACAAGATAGGATTGGCTTGAGAGCTGTGCGTTACATGTATAGCTGCTTGTAAGGGCTCTTTACGACGGTGATTAACCCCTTAAACCCTCGAGGAAAACTCATATCCTTCAGGCTTGTGCTAGCAGACGCAGCAGATGGCAACGACTCACGGCTGCAGCTTCGGTTGTTTGGATCAGGTTGTGTTCTGAGAGGGTCAGGTAGAGTCAGGAGTTTGTGATTTGTGGATTGATCTGTCTTCTGCGAGAAACAGCATACGTTTGGGAGATTGTTCAGAATAAGGTGCCAGGTAAAGCTCCTCACAGCCCAGTCCCCACTGCCTGTTTGGTGGCTGCCCCGTCGGTGAAGACTTCAGAGCTGCAGGGACTGCAGTGCAGGTGGTTTGAATCATTTACCCGCCTCCCTGTGAGCTTCCTTACCATACAGACCCAGGGGGGAGCAGCGGCAGGAATCGTCGCAGCAATAGCGGCCGTAGTAGCTAGCAGCAGCTGTAGCATCGCAGTCGCAGCCGCGGCCGCAGTCGCCGCAGCGGGAGCAGTACTACTACTGCTGCTGATACTACTACTGCTGTTGCTGCTGCTGCTACAACAACTACTACTACTACTACTACTACTACTACTACCACCTACTACTACTACTACTACTACTACTACTACTACTACTACTACTACTACTACTACTACTACTACTACTACTACTACTACTACTACTACTACTACTACTACTACTACTACTTATACTACTACTACTAACTACTACTACTACTACTACTACTACTACTACTACTACTACTACTACTACTACTACTACTACTACTACTACTACTACTACTACTACTACTACTACTACTACTTTACTACTACTTTACTACTACTTTACTATTACTTTACTACTACTTTATTACTACTTTACTACTACTACTACTACTACTACTACTACTACTACTACTACTACTACTACTACTACTACTACTACTACTACTACTATTATACTACTACTACTACTACTACTACTACTACTACTACTACTACTACTACTATACTACTACTACTACTACTACTACTACTACTACTACTACTACTACTACTACTGCTGCTGCTGCTGCTGCTACTGCTACTGCTACTGCTACTGCTACTGCTACTGCTACTGCTACTGCTACTGCTACTGCTGCTACTACTACTACTGCTACTACTACTACTACTGCTACTACTACTACTACTACGACTACTACGAATACTAATTACTGCCACTGCAGCTGCTAGTACCACCGGGCACCATCACCATCACCGCGGCCACCACCACCACAGCCATATTTAATGGCAGTCACACTGACAAATAGAAGAACTCTTCAAGACGCTACCTTGTGATCCCAGCCCATGCTCCCTGGTCATCAGCCGTATATCCAGCCTCAACCACAGGAAAGACCACTCAAAAGGGTGGCGTGACATGCATGGCAAAGGCCTGTCTGCCCAACATGTTTTGAAAGTCTCTTGAGGTTTCAGGGTTTGCGGCTTTTGAGGCTTAAGGTTCAGGCTTCGGTCGTTCCAGGTTTACTTACGGTTCTTTTGCTCCGAAGTTCAAGGGTATGAACCTCAAATGGAGAATGCTGAGCCGGGTGCATACGTTCTTGAATCCGGATCACGTCCACCAGCACAAGACTCCAACCCCCCCTGAATTCAGGAATCTTCCCTACATCAGATCCTAGGATTACTTATCACAAAGGATCCTCTCTTTATCATAATGCTTCCTTCATCTTCTAACTCGAGGACTCTTCTCACATCACACAAAGTTGGGCTTCTTTGTATAACTCAAGGAGCATTCGTCCTTGTATCATGTGCGGATGTTTGAGAACGCCAGCAATCTTCCCAACATCATACAGGGTTTCCTCTAGCTACCCAAGACCCCAAAGGCTAAATCCTAGCTGGTACAGCTGTCTTGCGTGAAAAGGTCCGGTTAAACAAAACCCCCAAAAAGCCCTATAAAGCAAGGGGTCTTGGAGTCCTTGCTGCAGGGAGCTCCAGGCAGCGCCGTCCGGCAAACCGCAGCACGGCGCCACCTCCCACCGTAAAGGCTTGTTATTGTGGTCTTGCATTTTTGAGGTTTGGGTCTTTGGGTTCTAGAGTTGGAGTTTTAATTTTGGTGAGGGGGTTCATGGATGATGTCAGGGTACGGTGCAGGGTGTCAGAAGTTTCGATAAAGGCTTATTCGTAGGTTTGGGGCTGAGAGTGTATGAGCCTCAACAGCCAGTTTGCTTTTCCAGACGCTGTTCGTCTTATTTACACCATGATTCTGCCAAGCCATGAAGGCAAAAGGGCTTAGGATTCAAGGCGCAGGATAGTGTTCGTCGCTCCTGGTTGAGACGGGATGTGTTTGTCACTGACTCGCGCAATTTACGACTCTCGATTTGAGCGGCCCGGGATTTGTTCTGCGACTACATACTGGCTGTGCGGCCCACGATTTGCAGGCATGGTCTCGAAGGAAGTGATTGTGTCTTCAGCAGCCGGTTGTCTTACCTTTGCTTCATCCTGCTGGGAGCCAACAATCCTCAAGCAAAGACCTTCGTCCGAACACCGCCCCGCTTCTGAATCCTGAGTCTCGCTGCCTCACTCCCAAAACTTTAGTTCCAAATCGAGAGCCTTTCGCCATATCGCCGATTTTTGCCAGGAATTCGTGATATGCTCTCCGCCCGGCTTGGATGGCTCGCTCTATCCTGAGCATAACGTGCTAGGTTTGGGTGCAGCAGGGAAACATTGGACCATTAGTCCTGATCATGAACCTGTTGGTCCTTGAGCGCTACTCCCCCTGAGTAGAATAGAACACACCCACGAGCCGTAATTACTCTACTGATTCAGGCCAACCCTGCGCGTGGAAGGAATAACTTTGGGTTTGTGAGCATGGGTTCAGGGTATAGTATTAATTCCGTCGACCTTGTCGAGCGGACTGAACTTGCGATGGTGAAAAGATGTGAAAAGTTTGTTTGTTCGTTCGACAACCAGCTGCACTACATGACAAACTATAGAACAACCTGAAAGTTCGAGCATAGACTTAACAGGGTACATGCAGTACAAAGTCTTGGGCTTGTTTTGTTTATGTGGGATTTTTCGGTATGGGTTTAGGCTTGAGGGAGTGCGGGTGTTAATGAGTTTGGGCTTCGGACTTACATGGCTTTGCAGTCAGAATTTCTGGTCTTACGCTGTACGGTTCTTGCTCAACCACCCCGTGATGCCCTTTCCAAGGAAGCGCACGTTCCGCATACTCCCTAACAAGAGGGATGGTCGCATGATTCTTCTCAAGGGTTTAGACCACCGCACACCTGAAGTCCTGCTCCACAGATGTGACCTAAAGCATCTCGGAAGCTTTGCCTAGGCCGGCAGCTGATCGATATCGATCGCCTTCGCCAGGTCCAGCGTTATTTCTTCTAAGCGGGGGAAGGGAGTCATCTTAAGGATTTGTGAGGCCGTTTTTGTTCGGCTCTGGGAGTTGTCTTAAGTTTGTAAGCCTTATCAGTGTAACAGGGTGTTCTGAAGAGTTGGGAGTTGAGGCTCTGGCAGTAAGCGTACGCCTGTATAGCCAACCATGTTTTCGACATCGTTGTCGTCGTCGCTCTGCTTTCGCTTTTCAACACCAGCAGATCTGGCAGCTTTGGACGTTGATGCTGACACCGAAGCATTCCAGTTGCCAAGTTTGCACTAGGACTCCTTGAGCTGCAATCGCGACTCTTAGCCGTGATGTCCTTTGTGCAGCGCTTGTCTCAGCGGAGCTCAGCCGTACATGACCAGCAGGTGGCCAGTGACCGCCAAAAGATTCAGCAATGGGTTGCAGAGCAAGTGACACGATTCGAGCATGAATGCGAGCACTCAAGCGATCGTGGGAGCTTTAATGCTCACTTCTCCGACAACCTTGTGGAGCTGCCACAGTTGCAATGCCTCAATCTGGACCACTATGAAGCAGAGCTGCGGCAGACTTTGGGAGCCTACGGCTTTGAGAACTTGGCTGTCTCTGTGTCCAATTTCCGTCTTCGCCATGGCTTTGGAGGCTTTATGCACCGATGCTACTTGTCCGTTTCGGCTTCTTGGGGAAGGGCAGGTGCAGAACGATGCGAGGCCGGCCGAACCACTGCACGTGGGGGCTTCGTCGGGCCTTGCGGCATTTGTCATGAAGATCGTCCAATGGTGGCGTTAGCCCCTTGTGGACATGTTCTATGCCGTGCATGCCAGCAGCAGATCGGACATGAGTGCCCCTTTTGCCGACAGCGCGTGCATACGACGACCTGCGGCTTGTTCATCGATTAAATCTGAGGAAGACGTGGAACATTCCCAAGCCTCGGCCAATCTTGTTGGTCGCATTTCTACGATGTGCCTCCAAGCTGTGCAAGTGGCTACTTGCAAGCATTCGCACTTCAGCTGAGAGTTGCATGGATCGTTAGTTGTGCATACAATGGTATTAGCAGCAGTTGTAGCAGGTAGACCTGGCTGCAGAAGACCAGCCAGGGTTCGAGGATTCATGACAGACGGCAGATCAATGGCGCCGAAGATGTGCAGGAAGCTGTCAAGCTGCCAGGCTTCAGGGCTGGTTTGACTCTGGCTCGACCGCAGTACGAACCACTTCCGGAGTCACGACATACTCTACTTCCCTCGTAGCAGCTATCTGAAGCATCAAGGAATCAAGGCTGAAGTTGTCATCACACTTCCCGGTTTTTGAGCAAAGCCATGACTGTAAGACTGGAGCGAGGCCCAGGAGCACCTGATCCAAGACCCTTCAGAATTCAATCCCTGCAATCTGAGGCCCTTGACCTGTAGCCCTGATTCAAGCACTGGACCGCTAAGATGCTGGATCCTAGAAACTAGCAAACTCTGTAGGTCAGCATGAAGATGTTCTCCATGCTTAGGGCTTCCATATAAATTAATATAAATCACTATAAATCACAGAAAACCCTGACATCTGTGACAGGCCGGGTCGACGCGAGCGAGCTTCACCTGCAGACCCCACCTTGCAAGCTCTCCAACGATGCTTCTGGCCTGCAAAGTTGACGGCTCGTGTCGCCCCGGACTTCAGGGAGTTTTCCTTACTTACAAGAATCCCTCGTTGCAGCGCGATTTGGAAGCTTACTCGCGGCACGCGAAGGAGCATTTATTTGCCCGCGCAATTGCCGGTTTGAGGTGCAGGGTTGAGGATTGCTGAGGGTCGAGTTTGAGCATCCCTCTTCAGGGTCCACGCAGAATATGTGATGACTCAAGGACTATGACATGATCGCTTGTAGTGTAGCAGTGCTATTCTTTGTCTACTGTTGCAGCTACTTAGGCTACTATGCAATCAGCAGTACTTGCAGAGCGGGGCAGCTTGCATAACTTGTCGGCAGTGGTTCCGCCAGTTGTACCAGTACCAGTACCAAGAGTGAGTATCTGGACCCTGGTACTTTGTGTATCTCGTTGTTAACCACTGGTAATCCGATCTCGGGTGGATTGTTTGTGAGTTCCGGAGCTTCGTAACCTCTCGGAACCTAGCAAGGCCTGTGATATTAGGAGTTTCGGATTCGTATTTGAGTTTGAGCTTGCTTTGGTGCCTGCAGGCTTGGAGTGAGGGGGTTCTCGGTTTGGAGTTCAGGGGCTTTGGGTGTGAGGTTTAGCCGCGCAGCTGTTTGAGATGCAGGCAGTACTAAACCATGGACAGAAACACCCGAACTCCGAACCCCTCAATCACCCCACAAACGACCTCACAGGCGGAATGAGCCTTGTGAAGTGGTATCTCATCAACCTTACTTGCAAGAGGCTTTTGTTCATGTCCGAAGCCCAAAGCCTCACTCCTCCGAGGACACCGCATCGTGGCAGCTCGCCTACTCCTATGTGGGCTCCGTCATGTGAAGTCTCTGTAAGGTATCGGAATACGCAGTAGGGCTGGAGGTCGAAGGGTTTCAAGAGCGTAACTCTCTTTCAATTTTGGTGGGCTTGAGAGAGGTAACTAGAGAGCTTGAGTTGCTTGGGATTTTGAAGGCTCGACAGATGTGCAGGGGTTTGGATGACGCCAGGTATCTTTCTATGCTGAGCCAGGTAGGCATCCCGGTTTTCTGATTGTCGATGCGGTTGCGTGGATCCCAGAACACCATCCCTAAATTTCGTCTTCTGCTGCCAAGAGACCGCGGTGTCTAGGAAGCTGAAACATTTTAACTTAGTCCATCCCTGCCTATCATGTCAGTATTGCAACCATTGGCAACCGTTTGCTGTAGTAGGTTTGGCGGGGCTTAGATGGTCGCCACACTGAAGCTTGGCACCAAACACACCATGATCCCACATGGTGGGTGTCTTCTACCTCCGATCTTCAGCCATCAGCCCCGGCCGTAAAGCCGAAAGCTGGCAACCTGGTAGCCCGGAGCATGCGAAGCTCAGTCTCGAGCCATCCGAGTTTGGGCTACTCGCCATTCCCCACACCGTACACTCCAAGGCAGGATTGCTTATAACCGGGGTTCTAGCAATTAGTACTACCAGTCTGGATACTTCTCCGAATTAGGGCAGCACGCCTAATTTAGAGAACTGCCGTTCGGGTTGACTTTTGAGCTTTAAAGTATTTGTTTCATCTCCCGTAAGCCCTATCTGCCCGATCTAACCCTATCCCCTTAACCAAATCCACAAACCCTCGATTGCCGTCCTCAGCCCATAATCGAAACCCAACAGGCCCGAGCCCTAAGCTTTGACATGTGAAAGCCGCAACTTATAAGCAGTGTAAGACTTAGTCTGGCCTATGCAGGCGCGAGCAGTCGCAGCATCCAAGTCGCCTGCTGCTCTTTTGCAAAGCAGGGTGTGACTGTGGCGTTGTTGCTTTTTGTTGCGGGCTCAGCCAGTAGGTAAGGTTCAGAGCTTTGGGTTAGGATTGGAATAGCGTTTCAGGTAGGTTCTGCGGAGGTCTTGGAGCCTTTATTTGCGGATTCAGTAGCTGGGATTGAGGGTTCAAAGCCTTCTTGAGGATATGTGGTTTAGAGTGGTGGTGATGATAACTAGGTCCCTAAACCCTAAACTCTACAGACTTTACATTTGGCCACGGAAGCCTGGTTTGCAAAGCTTGGGCATGCAGAGGGTTCTGCAGAGAGGGGTCGCATGCGATGCCCATGAGCCAGCTCAGATCTTTGTCATTGTTGGGTAGGTGATCTCAGCGAGGCAAGCAATTGATCTTAGGATTTGGGTGGGCTTCTAGTGATGGTGGTAGTGGTGGTGGCCGTGGTAGTGGACCACCAATCCGATAATCCCAAACCCCAGTCCTTGAAGTCCGAGTCCTGGATACTGAACCTCAAGCCCGAATGCTCAAGATCTTGGTCTTGGCGCCTTAATCTGTCCGAATCCCTTCAAGCCCGAAGCCCTTCCTGATACCAAAACAGGCCCACGCGCTGTAAAGCCTTCGTGAAGGAGTTCCTCTCCTGACTCTGAGGTTCGAGACCGACATGACTCCGCCAAAAGTGGCCATGGAACGCGGCGCAGGCTGCAAGCTGCTCTCGGGCTCTCTGCAGGGGTTGATAGGGCTTCAAGTTCAGGATCTGAGGGCTTAATGGGATCAGGGTTTCGGGTCCTTTGCGTTTATGGACTGTTGGCTCTTGGTTTGTCCAGGGTTCAGAGATGGTAACTTGCTGTCTTGTGTCGAGATGCGGGTGCTGCAGGTACTGTTCGTTCAGGGTACGGAGTTCAGCATGTTTGAGGCTCAGGCTGTGGGGCAGAAGTATAAGACTTTTATAGACTTGCCAGATATCCCAAGTGGGAACAGCATGATTGGCAGTTGCTATCCTAAGTTGTGCATGCCTTGAGTTTCTCCCAGGCTTTCTAAGCCTGCAGTCTTGTTCATTTTCTTGTTCTGGTCTCATGGCTTCGGGACTTGCTGTGTATAAGCACAAGCAACAGCACCTGCAGCCTCTGCAGCTCTCCGCCAGGTGGACGAGGGGGCTCTGCAGGCTGCCCGACGGCCGCGTGTTCTGCTTCCGGGATTTAGCTTCTCCTTTTTCGCCTCAGACTCTGCGGCGCATGTACTATAGGCGCCTAAATAATTACCAATATTTTGTTGAGGGTTCCTCATTGCAATTGTAGTATAATGGGCCCCATAAACAAGACTCTAATTCTTAGGCCCCTAGATTAGGGAGACTGGTGGAGTTTTCTCCTCATCCCCCAGAAGGTAAGCCCAATTAAGGACCCCTCTCGAAAGCACACAGCGGAACTCTGTTTGAGTCTCATACAGCACCCTTTCAGCCGAAATCCTCAAAACGCTGAACTACTGCGCCACAAAGCTTTAAAGGCTTGGATCCTAAACCAACCCTAATCTTGTCCCGGGGGTCTTCAAAGGGCTCTCCAAGCCTCCCGCCTAGCTCCGAACCCTAAACTTTGGAGCCTTAAAACCCGAAAACCCTCAAACCTAAAACTCCTAAACCCGAAAGCTTGCAACCCTGAATCCCCCAGCCCCAGAGGTGGTTTGGGCCCCGAGCTTTTGTGTAGATAGAAGCGCCGAATAGCTGAGGACGTTTCTCTTCGGGACCAGGGGGAAGGCTTTAAACCCTAAACCCAACAATCCCCTACAGTAGAAGCCAGAAAGTTGGAACATGGGTTTAGGAGGATTAGTGCTAGGATCTCTTATACTTTACTTTAGGGCCCTGAGGATACTAATGTTCCAACTTTCTGGCTTCTACCATAAACCCTAAACCGATAAACCCTAAACCCTACGATCCTGTGAGAAGCCCTTCAAGCACGCGTCCCCGCTTTTAAAGTCCCCGGACGGAGACAGGTCATGTAGGGGTCCTGAATGCTTTGAATAGGGTTTGTGCATTCATTATAATTACACACAATGTTAAGGAACCCTAAGCAATAAGATCACTACTTAGGCCCCAAGATTAACTCCAACTCGAAACCCTTCCGATACCCAAACTCGGAGAAGCATCCGGAGGTCCTCATGGCGACGATGAGATCTTGAAGATAAAGAAGACCGGGGCTCGGTGAGCTTTCGATGGGTTGCAGTACTGCATGCATCATTCGTCCGCTTCTTACATCAGTAGTGTTAACGCTACACGCTAAGCTTGTGTTTGTTCAATAGCAGGATTATTCCTGTTTCTGGAAGTGCTGGGAGAAATGCAAGTGTGGGGTTTTGGGTTTGGTGCTTTGGGGGGCGCCCGGCTCGGGGCTGGGGCTTGGGGCTCAGGGTACTGGAGTTCAGAGGGTTTCCGGCTTTGGATGAAGGACTGCGTTGCTTCAGAGAAGACTTAGGGACACTTAGAAATGATTTTTAATTTTTGGTTATTAGAATCTCTAAGAAACAGCTAAAACTATAATTTTTGCTAGGGTTCTAAGTTCAGTATAGAAGACCCCTGAATACCAAAGCCGCCCCGCCAATCTTCTTGAGGCCAGCTGGGGTCGTGGCCACCACAGCTGGACATGGAGCAGAGGACAGTGCAATCCAGATAGCTAAGACATTTTCTGGATGAGGGTTAATAATGCCTCAGGGTTCAGGTGCTTGATTCTGTTCGTCATTGTTCCTTTCGGGGTCCTGGATCCCGAGACCCGATGACGGCACCATCAACACGTTGCATTGACTACAATCCTATCAGTACCGAAACCGCATTTCCGGAGTTCTGAAGCTTAAGTGCAATGAAGATGAATCCTACACCGTAGCACCCTAACACCCTATATTCTAAACCCTAAGACCTAAATCTTCAAACCCTACAACTCGCACTCATCCTGTTCATCATGGCAGAGCCTTCACAGGATGCCTGGAGACACACCGAAGATGCACTTGCTCAAAGTCGTGATGCTTGGAGCAGCTTGCAAGAGGAGGTGGGCTTTCCGGACGAAGCTCGGGGTTAGCGCTGTCAGGCTTAGGGTCTAGAATCGGGACGTGTTTATTAGGTTTTTCACAGAATGTTTAAAGTTGAGCCCAACTTTACATCGTGTAGGGTTTAGGGCTGAGGATGTGCCGTCGAGGTTTCATGGATCGGCACATACAACTAATGGGTGCCCTTTTGGGGTTCCGTGTCTTCAGGTTCGTGCACGGTTCAGGTTTTCGGGGATGCAGTTTGTGAGGTTATGCTCAAGTGTGTTTGGGATCTTTGCTTATGCCCCAAATCCCAGACCCCAAAATGAAAGCCGGAACGCAAAGCCTAGAAAGGCTCGATGCTAGGCTACCCCGAGTCCACAGATGCAAGCCTGAAGCCCCCGTGTTCTTGCCCACTAGGAATTGAGCCGGTAGTATTAGGGAGACCGAAAAAGGGGACTTACTTCTGGCTCTCGCTCTCCTAAAAGGGACCTTGTTGAGGGGGTCTATATCTCCAAGGCCCCCTTAATCCTAAGTCTCGTGTAAGCCCTGCATTAGCTTCCTTCAGTCCTCAGCCCACAGACCCCACGTTCGTTGTTTCCTCAGGGTGTGCACTGGTCACAGTACCGAAGCCAGGACCACGAGGACGGTTTCGGATTCAGTTGTTTGGAATTGTTTCTTGTTATTCCGGCCTTGAAGGTGTGGGGGTGTATAATCTCGTTTGGGGTTACGGGTTTGTGGTTTGCGGTTGTCGGTCTGTTGGTTGATGGGCTGCTGGGTTGATGTGCATTGGGTTTATGGGTCTAGAGGGGTTCCGGTTATAGTGGTTGCATAATGCGAAACTCTTAGTATAGAATTTGCAAAACATAACATACAATATAAGGTTCACAACATAACGTATTACAACACTTTATCTATAGCATGATCGAGGAATCATCTTCGCAGTGCCGAACTCCCTATGCTTTACATCCTACCTTCAAGTATGTTGTACTAGCAGCAGCAATATAAGTAGTAGTAGTAGTAGTAGTAGTAGTAGTAGTAGTAGTAGTAGTAGTAGTAGTAGTAGTAGTAGTAGTAGTAGTAGTAGTAGTAGTAGTAGTAGTAGTAGTAGTAGTAGTAGTAGTAGTAGTAGTAGTAGTAGTAGTAGTAGTAGTAGTAGTAGTAGTAGTAGTAGTAGTAGTAGTAGTAGTAGTAGTAGTAGTAGTAGTAGTAGTAGTAGTAGTAGTAGTAGTAGTAGTAGTAGTAGTAGTAGTAGTAGTAGTAGTAGTAGTAGTAGTAGTAGTAGTAGTAGCAGTAGTAGTAGTAGTAGTAGTAGTAGTAGCCCCCCCCTTCCTCCAACCACCCCTCTTCCACACTCTTCTCGCACACATCCGTTTGACTCGTTATTTACAGCACTGTCGTCATGTAGGAACATCTTATGAAGCTTCAAAGCTCACTTGCGAGTTTGCAAAATCGAGCTTCCGAATCTGGACTTTCAGTTTGGGGCGAAGGGTCGGGGGAGAGGGGGGATGATGACGACATTGATATGCAGACACCCCGAACAACATCTCTAGAAGAGCCGTTTTACGTGTTTTTTACAGTACTTTCGTGATGTCGGACCATCTCACATAGTCACCAAACGTACTCTGGACGTTGCGAACTCGGCATCGGGCTTGCGAGGACTTTCGGCGAAAACTCGAAATTGGTTTGGGGGATGCTTGCCTTTTGCTCGGTATGTAAAGGACTTTGGTCATGTCGTAGTCCATTGCTAACCACCGTTCTTTAGCACCATTGTTGCTCCCCCCCGGCATGAGGACGTACAGGCAGGTTCTCGAATACCACACACCACTTTAGAAGCAATCCCTTCTATGCTGAGGTCTGGGCTTTAAGGGTGTTGGCGAGCCCCTCCCACGTGCAGATGTCATCTTTGTTTTTGATGTTTAGAAGATGTTGCGCCCCAGTTTTGGGAGTGTTTAGACCTTCTCGGCATCACCTGCGTGTTGCACGGTATTTACAGCATTTTCGTACTATCCGGCCACCTGTGGTTTGGCAGTTGCTTCCCCGTCGAGGTTGCAACTCCAATTGCTGTCGCAGTTTTGGGGCCCCTGCAACGTCACCGGCTGTGACAGTTGAGGCAAGTGAGCTTCGGGAACTTCTGCAAATGTCACAGGTAACGGGGCTCAGGCCGTGCATCTGTGACAGCTCAAGCAAATGAGCATCGGCAACTTCTGCAGCTGTCACATATAGGGGGCCTGAGCCCCTGCATTTTCTGCATCTGTCATTTTCGTTGCTGCTGGTGATGATGACGCTGGGTCCAGGCGCCAAGTGGTTGGCAGGGGGGGGCCCTAGTAGTAGCAGCAGCAGCAGTTGCAGTAGCAGTAGCAGTAGCAGTAGTTGCAGTAGTAGCAGAAGTAGCAGTAGTAGAAGTAGAATTAGCAGTAGCAGTAGAAGTAGTAGTAGTAGTAGTAGTAGTAGTAGCAGTAGCAGTAGCAGTAGCAGTAGCAGTAGCAGTAGCAGTAGCAGTAGCAGTAGCAGTAGCAGTAACAGCAGTAGTAGCTTAGTAGCGGTAGTAGTAGTAGTAGTAGTAGTAGTAGTAGTAGTAGTAGTAGTAGTCGTAGTAGTCGTAGTAGTCGTAGTCGTCGTAGTAGTAGCAGTAGTAGCAGTAGTAGTAGTAGTAGTAGTAGTGGTCGCAGCAGTAGTGGCAGTAGTAGTAGTAGTAGTAGTAGTAGTAGTAGTGCCAGTGCTACAGTGCCATAGTGTTATAGTGCTATAGTGCTACAGCGACATGGTGCTATGGTGCTATAGTGTGCTTTTGTGCTATAGTGCTATGGTGGTAGTGGTAGTGATAGTTGTAAGTGGTGGTAGTAGTGGTAGTAGTGGAAGTAGTGGTAGTAGTCGTGGTAGTAGTGTAGTGGTAGTAGTGGAAGTAGTGGTAGTAGTCGTGGTAGTAGTGGTAGTAGTGATAGTAGCGGTAGTAGTTGTAGTAGTGATTGTAGTGGTAGTTGTGATAGTAGTGGTAGCGGTGGTGGCGGCAGCGGCAGTGGCAGTGGCACTACTACTACCCTGGCGCAAGTCATAGGACTGAGGAAGCCCAGAAAAGTCAGCATGCGTGAACCACTTCGACCGAGACGCTTGCAGTAACCCACGAGAAAACATCGAGATTGACCCAGTGCTACAACAAGCGGTTACAGACCGTTTGCAGTTGTCCGTGTTGCCGCGTCGCACGACATGAAGATGTAAGGATCTCAAGATTTGGCATAAAACGAGACGCCGTGCTACGGACGTGAACCGGATGTCAGCTCAGATCAACCGCCTCCATCCGAGCTTGCATCCCTGCCCCTAAACCCGATTTTCTCGGGTACATTGCGCGGGGAGAAAATGCGGAGTATGCGGAGTTAAACCTGTCCTAGCCGCTAGCCACGGAGCTTTTTGAAATCTTCTACGTCGCCTGGTAATGCAATTGCGTGTTTTGGGAGCTTTCGATTACGAAGTGGATGGCCTTCTTGATTCAGTTTTGCAACAGTGTTGCTGCGGGACCACAATTCTGTACGTCCGACATCACACTTGTTCCAAGGTGTGACTGTTCACACTAGACACTAGAGGTTGCATTTTGAGAGTCACATAGTTAGTAAGATCGGATTTGGGGTAAGGTGTTGGCATCATTCTGGTGGTTTTGCGGTTGAAAAGTCAGGATTTTCGCGTAGTATGATGCTGACGATTTCACGGCTCAGCAGTCGTTCTTAGAGGTCCAACTGCATTCCGTGCGAGCTTTAAGACTGCTCTGTGTCCCGTCTTGTATTGCCAGCGAAGCCTGAATCTGAACCAATAACAGGATGACTGCATTGACTCCATGTGGCGAGTTTCGCAGGCGTATTCTGCCTTGTCACGCGTTCGGTCAACGTGCCCGCAAAAGCCAAGCCAGCGATCAAGGTTTGAATTGACGCGCTTGCATTGTTGCAGCACCGTGCTCCAGAAGGTTGTGTCATGTTCGATGGGTTTGTCCCATCCGAGCCGAACGTCTTACAGCTGTTGTGAGCCTTGACGAAAAGCTAATCAATGTTTCAACCCCAGCCCCCACCAACACACGGCAAACAAGCATGTATTCCCCCGAACCCTTCCCGAATCCGAACCAATTCCACGATCGAAACTCATCCGGTCCGACACCCATGTCAGCTGTGTTTAAAATTTCGATCGTTGCCCGAACCCGAAATAGCGACGTAAAAAACCGATCCTCGAACTTTTGTTGTCCCAGCCCGATAGACGCTCAAAACTTGATTTGTTTCATGACGGCAGCGTCCCACACCGCTAAAACCTGAATCAGTCAGCATGTGAAGGTGAAGATGGGCTGAAGCCGGGATCCTCCCGTTCTGTGATTTAGCCGCCCGAACACAAGAGAACAGAAACCTCGAAACCCAGATATGTTTGAATTTGTAGGTTTTTATTTGCATGCCTTGCAAAAAGCCGTAAGAGCCTTTGACGGCCGTGAACGAGTGATCTTCAACAAGCATTCCCTCAAAGCCCGGTTTTCAGTCTTCTAGAGTTTTCGAAGAGCGAGGCGAGTGGTTCTCAACCAGGACCAGGTCTTCGAAAACAGATCTGTCAAGCCCTAACCATGTGAATTTTTCCAGAATGATGAATCCTAATTACTGTACACCCCGACCGATCCTCATGATGAGCTGTGGGGATGTCAGGAGGAAGCTCGGAACAACTTCCGACCGGAGGCCGTGTTAACGGGACGACGGAACAGAGAGAGAGAAAGAGCGAGAGAGAGAGAGAGAGAGAGACAGAACAAGGGATAGAGAGGGAGTGGGAGAGGGAGAGTTTGAGCTGGTCAAATTGGGCCTTTGTTCTTAAGTAAGTGAATCTTCCGCCTTCGGTATCTTCACAGCAGGGCCCAGTAGGGATCCGGTTTTGGGTTTTCGATATGGAAATTTCAGAATATGCGGGCACGAACGCAGAGTTCAAGATTAGGCCCTAAATCCGCCCACGGACCGAAAGTCCAGCTTACTCGTGGATTCGTGTGGGATTCTGCAGGTTTTGGGCACAGCAGAGGAAAAGGATGTTCCACATCGTGACGTCAAGACGTCGTGACGCCAAGACGTGCGATGCTGTCCACATGCACCCGTTTGTCGTTTGTTCCTGTAGTCGAGATTCGACGAATAAAGCTTCACGGCGATGTGTTTGAGCTGTGTGGTCTCTTCGTGGCTCATGCACTTCCGATCGATACTGTGACGAGCACGTGATGTGGTGCGTGCTCTCTGATTTGGAAAGTTTCGTGCAATTTATATCCGCTACGCGTACTCGCCTCGGTCCAGCCCGAATTTAAGGTACGTTACCGGGTCGCAACAGTTGTGGGATTTGTGTTCCGGGCTTTTGGGCTGATCTCGGTCTGGCCCGCACCCCGACAACGGCTACGACGACGACGATGACCAAACCAACACCACTATCGGGCACTTACATTTCAAAAACAACCACGACGAGGACTACAACAACCAGCAGAAGCAGCACTACCCCAACCTGCCAAACAGGCAACAACAGCAACCAACAGCAACCGACCGACGACAACAACAGCAGCAACAGCAACAGCACCACCAACACCAGCCGCAAACGCAACCGCGAAAACAGCAACAGTAGCAGCAGCAGCAATAACGAGCACGACGACCACGACGCCAGCAACAACAAGCAACGGAGACGACAACCACCACGGCATCAGCAGCAGCAGCAGCAGCAGCAGCCGCCAAGCCAATGCGCCCGAGCATGCACCGCTCGAGCATCAACAATGCCTGCCCCCATTTACTTGCACACACAAACACGCACAGCCACCCGCGCACACGCACACACAGACACACACACACACACACACACAGACACACAGACACACAGACACACAGACACACAGACACACAGACACACAGACACACAGACACACAGACACACAGACACAGACACAGACACACACACACACACACACTACACCACACATGCACGCACACGCACACATGCGTGCAGAGTATAGACTTGGACGGCCCTAAGCCCTCGATCTCTTGTGTTAACCGCGATTTGTCGTGCCCCGTGTGGGCTCTCCAATTGTAGTTTTGCTAACCTTTGCAGGTGGAGACAAGTATCAAGACAAAAGACCTTATAAGCCTTACAAGAGACAGGTACACACTGTGCTCAACCATGCTTTAATAATAATACGCTACCGTTTCAATTCTGCTATATTTACTGTAAGGTATCATACTATATTGTACAACTTAATATATTAATCAACTAGTAGACTACAACAATGCCAGGGCCAAGCTTGGCATGGCCAGAGCGGGCGCGGGCGAGGGCGGGGCCAACGAACCTTGTCACAAGAGCTCGATATGGGTTTGGCGTTTAGGGTCTTGTTTGGCTATATTATACAGATATATGTATATCATTATATATATATATATATATATATATATGAGTGTGTGTGTATATGTATACCTGCATATATCTATATATATATATATATATATATGCATATATACATATACACATACACACATCTACATATATATATATATATATATATATATACACATGTGTATATATATATATATACGTACGCGTGAGTTCTACGTTTCGTTCTGCGACGTCTACGCTTGCCTGAACAGTTCAGCAACAGGTATTGGCTTAGGAACGAGGTTTACGGTCGAGGGTTTACAAGCTATGAACAAAAGCTCCTCAACCTCAGACTGATGTTGATCCACCCTGCTTGAGGGCACTTATATACCTTGGATCGCTACACGCTCTTGCCAGGACTGTGGTTTAGAGGGACCGGGGCATGTTTTATAGTGGAATCTCATACGCCCATTTTCTGGATGTTTCTGGCTCTTGCGGATGTGTTGCTTAGGGTTCGTCATCAGGGCTTGAATGTCGACAACATTCGGTAAATTTCCTTCGTTTATGCCATTATAATCATCCCTACATGTCTTGCACCAACGATGCATATTCTACTTTGCGTTTTTTCTGTGTAAGCTCGTGCAGCAGCTGGGGCAACCAGGATTTTTCCGGTGCGGTTTTGTGTCGCTAGGTAGTGAATAGCCTAGATTCAGGAAGTAGCACTGCATTTGTTGAAGTTGAGCATATAAGTATAGGCCTCGATAGGTACAGTATCGGTGAGTATATGCTTGAAGTGTCCTCATGGCGATGCTCTTCGATTTTCAGCACGGCCCTGTTTGAGTGCCTGCTTGTCAGTGAACCCTATGACCAGTCGAGGACAGTGGGGCTATGGCCAGCGGGGCTACGGCTCCAGCAAGGCCCGAGGAACGACAAGCCTCTGCAAGTTGTCGAGCGGCTAGCAACCCTGAATAGGGGCCTTGCCTATATCCTACGAAAAAGCATTGAGAAACCCTAAGGAATATTAACTTCTCCAATGATTAAGTTCCCTATACTAGCAACTCTACGTGTTCCACGTGTACGAGGTTGGCTCGGTCCTTTTGGCGTCGAACATCCTCAAACCAGCATGCTTGAGACAACGAGCCAGATGTTGTTATCCTCGTCGCTGTCCCGTCGACTGCGGTCGACAACCTGTGAGGTTTCACGACTTTGTGATACAAAGGGCCGAACATGAGAAAAGAGTATAGCAGTCTAGCAGTCTAGCGGTTTAGGGTTTGGGGATTTCAGGGTTTACGGTGCAGAGTCAGAGTGTCTCTCGATGTGTCTTGCATCGGACCGTTTGTACATCCTAGATTCATCTCACTTATTAATCTCTTGCACATTATGCAATTTATGCATGCGCCCTTCTTCATAAACCAAATGTCCAGCTCCTTCTCTGTGCTTTCTTTTCCTTCAAGTCTCCGAGAGCCCAATTCAGCCTGGCTACGACTTGCACTGGAGGCTCGCCACTACGGAAAAGGCAAAGGCAAGGGCAAATGGCGCTACGTATTTCACGGACAAGGCGCATCTTATTGCGGATCTTCTGGGTTCGCGATGGTCCATCTCTATCATCTGTACTCAAACTGTATACGGTGTACTCAAAAGCCGTTGGAAAGGCCCTAAACTCAGAAACCCTAAATATGAAACAGTGGCCTTACGCGCGCATCCGACAATTGCGACTGCTGCACTGCCCCAATCTCCATGGCCCCCGTCCGTAAATCCAAAACCCCAAAACCCTAAATCCTCAAACCCTGAGCCCCTAAGCCCCCAAATCCTAAGCCCTAAGCCCTTAATTAAATCCCCAAATCCAGCCCTAAGCCCTTAATTAAATCCCCAAATCCAAAAACCCTGAACCCTTCGGTTCTCCTTCCTGGAGAAGACCTGTACTTACCTTTGGTTACTAGGGAATGGAGGAATGGGGTACAAGTTTTGCTACTATTACTACCATTCTTCTACTAGCCAAAGGTAAGGTAAAGGTTCTTCGCCCACGCTTGCCGGGGATTTCATCGTGAGGTCTTGTACCGCTCCGGCCTTCGGCGCGGTAGGATTCAATTTCTCGGAGCTCTTTGCTATTAGCAGTAGACTATATGTATAAATAGAACTATAAATAACTAAATATACATATCTATATAATATGTATATATACCTATGTATGTTATACTGTACTATACTGTACCATACTGTGTTATGTCTCATGCTATACTGGGTTAAAGGTGTAGGGTCTAGGCATTCGGGGAACATCCAGTCGACAACATGTCTTTTGGCGAACTTATCGAGTTGAATCGTTTCCCTGAAACCGAGCGTACACGTAGCCCTGCTTATCTCAAGTCTGTTTCGGAGAGATCCTGTTAAGGTTTAGGTTTTCTAGGATTCAATGGACCAGGGTCACGGGTTAAAGGCTTAGGGTTTAGGGATAATGTCCCAGATCCGAAATCCAAAGGGGTGAAGTGGAAACACAACACCCTATACCACATGGCAAGAACCTGATGTGTCCCGAGACCCCTGACGCGTCATGCAGTTGGGTAGGTTTTTTGGCCTTGAGCCTTTAGCACTGTCCCAGAGGCGATACCTACCAGCTCGACATTGCGAAGGTGCCTTCTGGGTATTTTAGCGGGCTGCACATGGGTTTAGGGCTCAACAGGTATCCGGGGATTTACTCCTTCGCGATAGCTAGACGATTCTATAGGTTTGTTGCCCGTGGTGTTTTGTATTCGGGTCTTCATACACATATCTTCACAATTCTGACTTTAGGGTTTACGTGGAGCTCGGGAGGAAGGTGCAATGGGGATCAGGGAGTGTGATGGGATATGACGACTTCGGTGAGATATCGGGATGTCATTGAGAGGGCGTTTGGAATAGATATAGCGACTCTTTGACTTTGGCCTCCTTTTCTTTGTCGGTGCTGATAGAGCAAACTTGCGATCAATGAGAACCTTGGAAGGGAATTTTCGCATGTGGATGGTGCGAGGCGCCCTACAGCCAGCACACCCTGATCTCTCAATCTCGCAAACTCTAAATCCCTAAACCGGAATTTGGGAGCCGTAAGCCCTAAAAACGCCAAACATCAGGACGCCCAACTCAACGAGGTTAGGTGCTCCCATCCCAGGCAAAGTATCAATTTCGAGACAGGTCTTATTTCCCAACTGACTTGGTGTTTTCGGAGCTTCAGCAACGGGTGCTGCAGGGCCGCTGCTCTCCGTGAACTGTCGATCTTGTAGCGAGAGTCGTTGCTAGAATCGGCCGAAAGCTTGATTGAGACTTAGAGCCTTGAATGCATGCGACCAATGCATTGAGGGTGCAGGGTTGAACCCAAGCCCTGAACCTGACAGCCTGGAGGTCCGACCCTCCCAAACCCTGAAGTCCTCGTCCCAAACCCTTAGACCCTAAACTCCTAAACCCTTAAGCCCTATATCCCCCAAACCCTAGGGTCCTGATCCCTGGCCCCACACGGCCCACGCAGCGACCCGAAGAAGCGAGCTGCAGGCGGTAGAGCCACCGACAGAGGAGCAGCGCAAGGAGTTGGTGACCGCCTGAGTGACACAGGGTTTAGGGGTTTACGGGTTATAGGATTTAGGGGTTTAGGGGTTATAGGATTTAGGGGTTTAGGGGTTATAGGATTTAGGGGTTTCGGGGTTATAGGATTTAGGGGTTTAGTGTTTAGGGTTTAGGGGTTATAGGATTTAGGGGTTTAGTGTTTAGGGGTTTCGAGTTTAGGCTGTAGGGTTTAGAATTGAGAGTGCCAGTTTTGGGGTGTAGGGTTGGGGGGTTGAGGGTTTCAGGATTTACTAGAGATTCAGGTTTGAGACTTGAGGATTTAAGGTGGCTGGGGAGAGGAAGATATAAGAAGAGATCCTGAACCCCGGGAGCCCTAGTATAGACGTGAAGTAGCCACTTCAGGATCGTTAGTCTAAGGCCCCCGCAACCAACAGGGGGTTCGCAACTTAGAAAGTTAAGAGCATCCTTATGCACTTATTGATCGAATCGAGTTTCCGTGCAACCCTTGGCGACTCTGGTAGCACTATGGTACAACCACAATGGCCATGGCTCACTTTGCAATGTTGCAACATGGTCCAGATTCGACGTGAGTGTGCATGCTACAGATGTGTTTCTCTCCAGTTCTCTCTTCTCGTCTCTCCTTCCCGCCTTCTTTCTTTCTCTCCAATCTCTCCCTGTCTGTTTTTCCTCTCTCTCGTTTTTTCTCAGCATACTATACAGATGGTTGAACCTTAAATTTAGAATCCCGGAAGCATAAACGGTGTTTGTGAGCATGTAAAAAGCTGACCCCCCCCGGAATGCCTTACTTACAAAACCGAAATCTCCAAAACAAACCTTCTAAAACCCACACTATAGAGCTTCAAGAATGACACCTGAGGCGAGGATGAACGCCATCCAGCTGACGGCGGCCGCAGCAATTGCCTGGGCCATATGGGGGTTTCCGGAGATGTGGGTGCCTCTTTTGGGGTCCTCATAATAAGGATCCTACCATTTAGGGCACTATGTCAGGGTCCTTTATCTTCAGAAATCCCCACGTCGGAGTCAAGACAGGGTTGTTGTTTGCGCTCCTTTGGTGTCGCCTCAGGATTCAGGTTTTACAGTTTAGGATTTGGGGATTCATGTAGGGTTCAACTTCATCAGTTTCCTTAGGGTCCTAGGTAAGAGGTTTAATTAGTGCTTTCAGTGCAAGGCAATGGGGAGGGCTCGAAGTGGGTTCTAGAAGATAGTATAGGAACTTAACAACGATACACAGCCCAAACGCGCCGGTTAAATTTTTTTTGTGGGCATCCGCTTTGGCGTCGGGAGAGGGCTCCCTCAAGCGAAAACCCTCAAGAAGTTCCGCACAGGCACAGAAAGAAGCCTTCGGAGACACTCTCGGAGGCGCTACGGTTAGGGCTTGCAGGGGTTAGGGTTCAGGGATCGTGTGTTTGGGGTTATATTCATGATTATTGGGGCCTCGCCCGCACCGGCCCACACCCTACTCCTCAAGCTCCAATACTCTAAGCAATGAAGCCTCCCAAGCCCTGGCACTTAAGGCTCTAGGGTTTAGGGCAAGGGCTTTAGGTTTTCAGGCTCAAGGGTAACGAATCTTTTTTACGCCCCAGTCGGCACATGCGTTTCTCAAAACCTAATCCAGGCCCCCCTAGGAGAACCCTGTATAAACCGAAGCCGTAAACCATAAGTAGCCCATGGGTTTTTGAGCATGAAGTCCTGTTTTAAGCAGGCTCGGGTCAGGTTCAAACATTCTTGCTAGTAGCACAATAGGTAAGTAACCCTGCACGACTTGTTAGGATTACAACAACCTGTGGATCTATATACATAAGCGAAAAACGAATGAACGAAAGAACGAATGAAGGAATGCATGGTCAAAGGAAGGAAGGAATGAATCAATGTAGGAATGTGTATATACCTATGTATATTTAGATATACATATGTATGTATGTGTTCATATATACACTTATGTTTAATGCATTCATGCATGTATGCATCTACATACTTAATGCAATGTAATGCAATGCCATTCAGTGTACATTGCATGTACGTGTATGTATGTATGTATGTATGTGTGTATGTACGTATGTGTGTGTATGTGTATGTATGTGCACGCATGTATGTATATGTATGTGTATGCATGTACGTAGGCATGTATGTATGTCTTTGTTTATGTATGTATACACGTATGTATGAATGTATGTGTGCATGCATGCATGAATGCATGGATGTATGCATGTATGTACTTACGAATGTGTGTATGTATGTCTGTATGCATGCATGTATGTATGTATGTATGTACGTAAGTAACTATGCATTTATGTGTTTGTGTTTACATTTTATTTACACGTGTACATGCACAGACATATTTCACATAATGCCAACGATTAACCGGCTTAACCTTCAGTATTTGTCGGAAGCTGGATCAGTAAGCAGTTTGTGCATCGTTGTCATGGCCACTGCTGCGCTGCTTGGAAGGCAACTACATCAACGATCCTTCTGCCGGAGCCCAAGAGAGATATAACAGTCACTTCTACCGGAGTTTGAAGACTCACGGAGAAGTAGAAGTCATGCTGTGCAATTATGGCTGGGGCAATAAGCGTTTTCAAGAAGCCAGCTGTGTGAAGCCTTAAGGCATGTTTTTGAGGAGCAACACCTAAACCTCAAACCTTTCATCAATCGTAGTGAAGAACCGTCAGCCTCCGCACCAAGGTTTTGATGCAGAGCCAGCAGCTATCGCAAGGCCTGGCGGCTGTCCCTTTGAGGATTCCGCTGAGAGGGAAGGAAGGAGCTGTTAGTCTTTACTGGGGCGCTTATGCATTGAGGGCACGACACACCTTTGCCTGAGCCTTGGCCTTGCAACTTGCATTGCAGGGCGGATGTGTTCAGTTTGTCTGGCCTTTGTTGCGGGCGTACGGCAGCGGTGGGAATGGCTGCGGCGATGATTTTGGTTCGGCAGAACTCAGAAATGTCTTAAGCCAGTTTCCGGGTAAGTAGACCCCCTCCAAGCCCCAAGCAGACTCTACCCCAAACCCTGGCGAACCCATCACCCTTAGTCTCGCACCGATACTGCGCCATCCCCAAGACGAGTCCTAACCCCGAAACTCCAGAATATCCTGACCCCATCTGCCTACACCCCACCTACACCCGAACAAACCCCAATCCCTAAACCCCGGTTGAGCCGTGTCGCCTACAAACCCAAATGCCGAAAATGCCAACAGACCCTGACCCCGAACCGCAGAGTCCCAAGATAGTCTTCGAACTACGGCCTGCAGGTTCCGGGTACTATGGCTCGGCAGACATGCAGGCCTGCTTCGTCCCTGCTTTGGGGATCTAGGGTTGGGCAGAGTCGGGCTTATGGCTTCTTGGGCTCATGTGTCGTGCTGGAGGTTTAGCTATAGGGCTTGACGTTTCACCCACTATGTAGTCCTCACGGTTCTGGGGGTGAGGTTCAGGGATGTACAGTCCGTTTCACTCGTAAAAGCTCCCAAGATCCTTCAGAAGAAGACAACCCGGATGAGACACTGCCCTCACAAACGCACACAAAAACCGCAAGGAGCACCACACTTTAAGCAGACCCTCCCACGATTCACAATAGAAGCTTCAATGCACCCGTCCAGGTTCCACCGTGACACTTTGTAGTTTATAGTATGTATATGTAAATAAGCAAATCAATGCATCTCTCTCTATATATACATATATATGTATGCAAATACATACACATATATATATATACACACATACATATAGCATATATGTCAAGGGAAGAGAGATCGTAAACCCCAATCTTTGGACCCCAAGTCCGAATCCTGGTGCGTCAATTCTTGGACCCTCTCCTCCACCTTAACCGACCTCCCTAGACCCCAAACCCAATAAAGTCAAGTAAACTCCTAAATTCGAAGCCCTGAACCCCAAAGCCTGTATATAAAATCAACTAAACCCTAAATTCGGAGCCCTAAATCCCAAACCCCATCAACCTAAGCTTTGAGGCACTGAACTCGTGCATGGCCGTGCAGCCGGAAGGCGATTTGCGGTTGTTAGGGTTTAGGGGTTTAGGGCCTGCAGGGTTTAGGGGTTTAGGGGTTCAGGGTTTAGGGCCTATAGGGTTTAGGGCCTATAGGGTTTAGGGGTTTAGGGCTTAGGGTTTAGGGGTTTGGGGTTTAGCGGTTTACAGTTCAGGGGCTTAGGGGTGGTTCTAACATACGGCTTCAAATCTCTGAGGGCTCGCTTGACATCTTTAGGCTTTTGGGATTTTAGGGCTTGGGGATGCTCAGGAATCACTCTGTTTGAACATCGGAACGCACCCAGGCATCGCAAAGGGCTGCAGTTTGTACTGGCATCTCCTTTCGTTGCACCTTGGTATTAAGTAGGGAAGCGAGAGAAACAGGCTACATGAAGTGGGGCTAAATGGGGATACGTCAAAGTTGGAGTTGGGTCAGAGACCAACGAGGTGGTCCATTGGTAGGCTTGGTAGTTGATGCTACCCTCAACCCTAAACCCCTAAGCCCCTAAACCCCAAAAGGAACAGCTCTTCAATCGAAGGGAGCCCTTGTTAGACTGAGCGTTTATCCTGAAAAAGGGGACTCAGCACCACCCAAAGGCCCCATAGTAGGCGGGGGGCTACTTTGGGGCCTCTGGGCAGCCCTTCAGGAGTATTTGCAACCCCGTGGCCCATGGACCAACCAGCAGCAGCGCAGCTACAGAGCTACCAGGCGCGACGAGAGTAGCTTGCATTGCATCTGGGCAAAAGTGGGGGTAGTGGGTAGTTGTCTGAACTAGCTTATCTTGTTGGATCCCCAGAAGAGCGCAGCACACTTAACGACATCGCATTATTATGCTGTGCAGTATTATAGTATATCATACTGTGTTTACTTTGTTGATAACATTAGAGTGTGCTATAACACAACCTCTCATTACCTATACACATAGTCATGTATACACATACATCAACATGTTCGTATATGTACCTGTATATGTTTATCTGTGTATGAATGTGTCTATGTGGACGTCCATGAGTATGTGTATGTATGTATGTATGCGTGTATGTAGTTTGTATGTATGCATGCATGCATGCATGTATGTTTGTTTGTCTGTTTGTGTGTGTGAATGTGTGTATATAATCCCTTCATCCGTTTAGTAACCCCCACCCCCAAATACAAAGAATTATTTGGGGCCTTTAACTTCTAATATTCGGCTGATTTCGGGTGGTTTTTCGCGTGATTTTGCGAAATTCGAGTCTAGACTTTTCCCCCAGGCAAGGGTGTGGGTCTAACGAAAAGCATGGGATGAGGTCCCAGGCTAGGGCGCGGCAGGGCCAGTAATAGCTGTCTCGAATCAGAACTCCCAGGCTAGGCAGCCGGGTGCGGGATTGTGTGCGTATTGGCATGCACAGGCTGAGAGGAGTACATTGCTGTCTCGATTCCCCCTAGCCTGGGAGTTCCTCCGTTCCGGATCCCATGCTTTTCGTTAGATGCGCACTCTTGCCTGGGAGTTCATGAAATTCCCACATCCGGACGCCCTTCGACGCCGCGTTCCCACGTGCCCTAGCCTGGTAGTTCCAATCGCATCATGCCGATCCTACCTGACCCATAATTCAACATGCCTTTACATCTTTTTATGTTTTGAACTTGTTGCTCGAAACTGGATTTTCCGGCCGGGGAATTCTTTATATTTAGGGGAGTTTAAGCGGATGAAGGGATCATGTATGTAGTTGTCTATGTATATATGTATGCATGCATGTATGTATGCACATATGTATGGATGGATGGATGGATGGATGGATGGATGAAATGATGGATGGATGGATGGACGGATGGATTGATGGATGGATGGAGGGATGCATGGATGGATGGATGGATGGCTGGCTGGCTGGCTGGCTGGCTGGGTGGGTGGATGGATGGATGGATGGATGGATGGATGGATGGATGGTGTATTTATGTATGTGCACATGTTATAAATACATATGTATATGTATGTATGTATGTACGCATATTTGCATACATACGTACATGCATGGACGCATGCATGCCTGTGCGCATGCATGCATGTATGTACGCATACATATACACATATTCGTACTATACATATTATACTATACAGACTGTTCATACACTACATGTATATATATATATATGTATATATATATATATACACATACATACCATATCAGGTCAGATCATATCATACCATGTCATCATATATCATACCATGCCATATCATTTCATATCAGCTCAACTCATGACATATCACATCATACCAGATCAGAGCAGATCAGGTCAGAACCTTTCAGATCGAGTCATATTGTGTTTAATCATACTAATACAGATTACTGTGTCTATTGCCCCTTCTATGTTTTTGTTCCGTCAACCTCGAAACCCGAATCTAGGATATGCCCGACACGCCTTCAGGCCGCCTCGTTTAGCAGCCAGAATGCCATGTCCGAAGCCCAAGGCGCAGCGGGGTGGGAGTGGGGTGGTTGTTATGTTTGGGGCTTGGGGATCGCGGGTTTGAGGGTTGGGCCGAAGGGAAGCAGGGAGGGAATGAGCACTAACCCCTAAACCTTGAGCCCTAAATGCCCCCAAAGTAGTCGCATCCCAGGGGCCATGGCATGGACGTCTGAGATCGCAACAATGCAGCAGACCGAGCTGCCCCAGGCCGGCAGAGCACAGGTTGTTCAGGCTGCCATTTGGCTTAGGGTGTCCGTGTAAGGGTTATCTGTACATCATATGAGCTCTGCATAGTTATCCACATATAAATAAATAAATGTGTTAATGGTAGTTGTTTCACATCAAAACATTGTAACACATCACATCATAGCATATCGTTCCATATCAGATCAAATCAGGTTGTACTATACTATAGTGACAAACTATGCTGTGTATACCGTCCATTATATTCGGAGGTTACCAACCTCGAAACCCGAATCTGGGATATGCCCGACGCGCCTTCAGGCCTCCTTCAGCAGCCAGAGTGCCGTGCCCCAAGCCCAAGGCGCTCCTGGGTTCGAGTGGGGTGCATGGTTGTTATGGTTCGGACTTGGGCATTCCGGCTTTGCGTGTGTGCGGTTTCGGGAAGGAGGGAAGCAGGGAGGGGCCTTAAGCCCTCGAAACGACTAAGTAGCCGCCTCGCAGGGGCCATGGCGTGGATGCCTGAGATCCCAACAATGCAGCGGACCGAGCTGGCCCAGGCCGGCAGAGCACAGGTTGAACTAGCGTTTTTTTTGTTAGCTTTTAGGGCTGTACTGTATGTACGCATACATACATATTGTATGTCTTTCCATATCATAACATATCATGTCACAGCATAGCACAGCATATCATAACAGACCATGGTAACAACCCATGTTGTATACCGTGCAAAAAATGTAGTTTCGGAGGTCATCAACCTCGAAACCCGAATCTAGGAGATGCCCGACACGCCTTCAGGCCGCCTCCTTTAGCAGCCAGAATGCCATGTCCGAAGCCCAAGGCGCAGCGGGGTGGGAGTGGGGTGGTTGTTATGTTTGGGGCTTGGGGGTGCGGCTTTGAGGGTTTGCGGCTTCGGGAGCGGAAGCAGGGAGGTAACGAGTTCTAACCCCCTAAACCTTGAACCTTCAACATCCCTAGGTCTTCTCGAGGATGACGAATGACGGAACACAGGAGTAGAGCAAAACACAACTCAACGTAGCCGTATCCCAGGGGCCATGGCTTGGACGCCTGAGATCCTAAGACTGCAGCAGACCGAGCAGGCCGGCAGAGCACAGGTTGTCGAGGCTTCTTGTTTGTTGAGGTTTCAAGCTTTTATGATGTGTATATATATAATATAATATAATATAATATAATATAATATAATATACACATGTATATGTATATATACACATTACGCCTATAAGCTTAAATACAACTTCTTGGTTCAGGGGTTTTGATATAGTTTCGCTTGCTCCCAGGGCTTTAAGGTTGCTTTAAGCAACATGTGCCGAACAGGAAGTCCTCGTTAAAGCCTGGAATTACACATGTGTATGCCTCGAGACCATTGCTGTGAGCATGTAGTTTCTTCCGCAATTATGTCTCTCTGTCGGAATATACTACAGGAGAACGTTCGCCGACGGCCCACGAACGTACAAAGCTAGGGGTTTTGTTTCCCAGCAAGGGCCTTTGGCAATCAAGCGGTGTTTGTTTGTTTGTTTGTTTGTGTGTGTGTGTGTTTTGTGTCTGTGTGTGTGTGTGCGAGGCTTTGGATTTCGTCTTTCGGATATAAGATTTCTTCTTGTGGTGTAAGAACCCTGACACACACACACACACGCACAGACACACACACACACACACACACACACACACACACACACACACACACACACACACACACACACACACACACACACACACACACACACACACACACACACCACACACACACACACACACACCACACACACACACACACACCACACACACACACACACACACACACACACACCACACACACACACCACACACACACACCACACACCACACACCACACACCCACACCCACACCCACACACACCACACCCCACACCCACACCCACACCCACACCCACACCCACACCCACACCCACACCCACACACACCCACCCACACACACCCGCACCCACACACACCCACACACACCCACACACACCCACACACACGCACGCACAGACACACGCACAGACACACACCCACACCCACACCCACACCCACACCCACACCCACCCACACCCACACCCACACCCACACCCACACCCCACACACCACACCCACACCCACACCCACACCCACACCCACACCCACACCCACACCCACACCCACACCCACACACACACACCACACCCACACCCACACCCACACCCACACCCACACCCACACCCACACCCACACCCACACCCACACCCACACCCACACCCACCCACACCCACACCCACACCCACACCCACACCCACACCCACACCCACACCCACACCCACACCCACACCCACACCCACACCCACACCCACACCCACACCCACACCCACACCCACACCCACACCCACACCCACACCCACACCCACACCCACACCCACCACCCACACCACACCACCCACACCCACACCCACACCCACACCCACACCCACACCCACACCCACACCCACACCCACACCCACACCCACACCCACACCCACACCCACACCCACACCCACACCCACACCCACACCCACACCCACACCCACACCCACACCCACACCCACACCCACACCCACCCACACCCACACCCACACCCACACCCACCCACACCCACACCCACACCCACACCCACACCCACACCCACACCCACACCCACACCCACACCCACACCCACCCACACCCACCCACACCCACCCACACACACCCACACACACCCACACCCACACCCACACCCACACCCACACACATACACACACATACACACACACACATGCACACACATACACACATCACACCACCCACACACACACACACACACACACTCACATATCGGGACCGGGATGCACAAGCCTACATGAAACGAACGCACTCCATAAGGCACACATAAAGCCCTGCAAAGACCTTCGAAAGTTTCAGAGTTGATCTAAAGCCGAAACAATATTAAGAGTAAACCCTTGAAATTCAAGACACCCCACCCCACCCCCCACCCCCCGTAAAGTGCTCTAACATGGAATCCTCCCGGCCTTGAGGCTGCGCCGTGCAGCAACCCAAATTCCATCGGCGAAGGTCAAGGCACCTCCGAAGGGGGAGGATGGCGAGTTTAATTGGGTTTTACTGGAGTCTGGAACGGTAATCATAGGGAGTTATAAGGTTCCGAATCGAGTTCTTAGGGAATCCCCCGAGTTTTACAGGTGTTAGTTGAATGGGGCTTGAGGTTCAATGATTTAAGCTTTGGGGTTCTGACTTGCGGTGTTGGGGAAGTTTGTGTTCCGGGGCATGGCGGGTGTCTTGGTGGTTCAGGGTCACCTGCTCTGTGAGTAGCGAAACCTGACATCGAGGTAACGCCCGATCCAGCCCGATAAAAGCTGCTGTCAAACAACCGTGAAGCCCTACCAAAACCCCACAACACCCGGTATGCAGTTTCTTAAACGCCCCGCTTTATTAACAGAAGAAGACAACCTTGAACCCTCAAAAACCCTACTAACTTCAGGGGCCCTGTCATTTTGGGCCGACCAGTCTGCCACCACCAACGAGGAGGCTCGTTTTTTGCACACTTCTCTTAAGGAAGAGTTTAAGTTTAAGGTTCATATAGCATATAGGGATTCATAGTATAAGGGTATATAGGGCCCCTATTGATAAGGGTCATCTGGTCCCCGAGGTTGCAGACAGCAGCCGCTTCTGAGGTCATGTGCCTCTCTAATAAGTTCTTCTATGACAGTCAGTCAGCGCGTATACGGTTACATATGCAGATACACATACGCATATGTGTGGGTGTACATACATTCGTATGTATTCTCACAGACATAGATACATACATACATACAACATACATTCGTTCATACACCCATTCATACATGCATAAATGCACACATCCATGGCCACCTTTTCCCCTCGGCCAGGCCATGCCACCTTTTCCGCAAAGCCTGGCGGCCGAGCCGGAAGGCGCCAAAGATGCTCAAAGATGCCTCAATAGTTAGAGTAGGCTTCCCTTAAAGGGGTGATTAAAAAGGGGTCTATATGGGATCTATAGTAGGGTTCCATAATAATCTAGGCGCCAAAGTAATAACCCTTACTGTTGGTTTTTTTTTGGGGGGGTTCTTTAAGGCGTCTATAGGGGTTTAGGGCTTAGGGATTACCAATGCAGCTTGTGCCGTATTATAGTAAAAGTCTAATATACCCCAAGACCCCACTTTGGGGGATTCCTGATCATAGCTATAGTATATTATACCCCGAAAACCCTATTCTAAAGATTAAGGCCCCTAGTTTAACTTCGCTGGGGCTTCGGGTTCAGGGCTTGGTGCTTCGGGTTTCGGGGTTTAGGGTTCAGGCTTCAGGTTTAGGATTTTTTAGGGGTTCAGTGCTTGGGAATGAGCATTTGTGGTTTAGGATGTCGATTCTTATGCTTGCGAGCGGATGCATTATGATTGAAGGGTTTTTGTTTACAGTTAGTCTTGAAAGGTTCAGAGCTGTGAGGCATTTACGCTGAGGGTCTTTGTGCTTAAGTTATGGGTTGAGGGCTGTAGTGATTTGGGGGCATGTGCGTCTATATCTATATCTGTATCTGTATCTATATCTATATATATATATATACACATACGCTTGTGGCCCAGAGTCAAAGATAGGCTTTGCATGTTTCACTGGTGTATATGAAATACTGCCAACCTTTTTATGCATTCGTACATAACGCAATTCTGGTTGAGGTCTAGGTTTAGGATCCTGGTCATGGACACTCCGGGATTTAGGCGGCAGTTATTGGCGGCTGATGACTTTGGCTCATCCGAGATGGCATATGTGAAGAGACCCTAAATCCCAAACCCACCCTTAACCCTAAACGCTAAACCGAGTGACTCTTGTAGAAGCCTCATCCTCCCCGACGATGTAAACCTCAAATTCCCTTACCCCTACACCCCTGTAGCACTGAATTGTGTCTCCAGCTGTTGGGTCCCTGAATTCTCAGTGGTCCAGGTACCTACGATATACAGGGACCACCTGCACGGTACGGGGTTTCTCCCTTTGGGCTTGGAGTTAAAGGTCGGGGTTTAGGTTTCACGAGTTTTTCGGTTTGAGGTTTCCAGTTTGTCAACAACACGTACCTGTGCTTTGGGCTCAGAGTCCGCATCTAGGGTTCGGAGCCATTTCGATGTTTTGAGATCTTCCATGTTGACTCTTCATGTGTTTGTCCTTCAGGGCGTTCAGATGCAGAACATAGGCCTTGAGTATAGAGCAAGATCTTCACGGGGACACACAGGGGATGCTTGAAGCACGAAGTTTCAGTTTTTGCGGCAATTTAACGAGTTATGGGACCATGTTTACCATATCAGCCTCCGCAGCTTGAGTTCCGCCAGCCCGCATCCAAGAAACCAACCGCCCTGAAACTCAAATCTTGGCAGACTATGGCCAAAGGCCATATTGGCAAACACTTGGCCGCCCCTTGCTCCAACTTTAAATGGAAAAGGACATGCAATGCCACTGCAGAACACGTGGCGGAGCAACGCGGCACCAAGGTGATCTACTAAATCACACAGACCCGAAGCCCGAGGAATCCGCAGAATCTTCAACCCCAGAGGACCCAGAGCAGCCCGAAGCCCTTAATATACGGGCCTTAATAATTAGAATAGGGTTTTGGGGCCCATTATACTATGTTTATAATAAGGAACCCCCAAAATAGTATTGGTAATTATTTAAGCCCCCATAGTAGATCATCTCAGATCCTGCCAATCATACGCAGCTTCGCCGTGTGAGGCTCGGTTTGGGCAGAAAGCCTCAAATCACAAAGCTCCAGGTCCTTTGACAACCTGGGCAGACCTCCTCCCCTACGGGAATTTTCAGGACTGGCTTGTGGCTTAAGGTTTAGGATTTTGGGTTTATTTTCAGGGTTGGGGTTCGGGTTTAGGGATGAGGAATTCCGTATGCGCGCGCGCGCGCGCGCGCGCGCGCGCGCGTGTGTGTGTGTGTGTGTGTGTGTGTGTGTGTTTGTGTGTGTGTGTGTGCGGTAGTCGTGTTCCATAACTATTGAATAGTTAATTACTATTCAATCTCGAGTGCTTTGAGTAGACATGTCACATGTTATGATGGGACGACGCACCTGCCAGGGGCTAAGATTATTTTAAGAGCTCCTGCGAGGATGCATTGCTGATGCTCAATGTTTGCTATCGCCTAGGGTGTTGGATAAGCAAGCACCAGCAGTTTGGGTTTCGGAATCTGGCTTCTCTACCACTGACTCTTTTCACGGCTTCGTGATTGCTACTCATCATGCCTTATTTGGGTTCTGGGCAGCCCCTCATCCCATTTGAGAGTTTATGCGAAGAGTGCACTCCCTCTATCATGTATAGCTGCATTCGTCACCCAACATCTAGTGCTAGGTTTACGCTTTGTTTGGCATCCCGCCATCACCTCCTGTACGATTGGCATGCTCAACTGAAGGTATCACGATCAGGTCTGGAAAGGAACCCCAAACGAGAGGGGTTTGGGAGTATTTCATGGTCTGCGGTTCAGGGAGTAAGGTGCAAAGTATATGTCGGGTTTCAACGCACTGGAATGTGTGTCTCGAGCGGCTGTGAGTTTGGGTTTGGGGTGCAAACAGTCGGAAGAGGTCCTTATATCCATGGTCTACAAAGAAGTATTCTGGAAATCAGGGAAATGATTTGGGCGCAGGGTGTCTCGAATGGGGCTTTCAGCTTAAGACGTATGCCCCAACTCCTGCGCAAGGTATGCCTCTTCAAAACAAAGCCTACCAAATAAGTTTACACATAGCCACATAGTTCTCCAACAACAGGACATTGGTCGGGGTGTCGCTCGATCGGAGTCGGGGGCGCTCTACTTTGAATTCAGCATGCGCAAGGCTGGGCATTGAAAGGGCTTGGGATGGTGGTCTGTTGCAGGAGGGCTTATACCTTTCAACACACTATAAACCATGAACCCTCAACCCTAAGCCCTAAACCCTAAACCCAAACACATTATAAACCATGAACCCAAAACCCTAAGCCCTAAACCCTCAACCCAAACACATTATAAACCATGAACCCTCAACCCTAGTTTCGAGATGTTTCTGGCATCAGCGCGATAGCTTCGGGCTGAGAGCGTTTGTTTACGGGTGTTGCGGTGCTGGGCTGGTGTCTCAAGTCCCTTGACATGTTCCAGGTATCTTGTTTGAGTCTACCCTCAGGCCCAAAGTAGTTCCTTTTTGGGGTTCATATATAGAATCCAATCAGGTAATCCCAAAAAGGAACTACTATAGGGGCTTTGGGTAGCTAGGGGGGGGGCCTTGTGGGGTGTTCGCTCAGATAGACTTGATAATTCAGGTGGAAACGCTCAACGAACAAAAGTGGGAAGGGGGTTGAGTGAAAAAGAGTTCCTGAGTAGGAATTTTGGGATTAGGGGCTTCTGTTAGGCTGTCCTTGAGTTTCCTTCCGTTTCGGGATAGGGTATTTGGCAATGAGGCTCCTAGTTACATTCGGTCTCCATCCACTTATTGCACAGTCTCGACAGCGCGAGCGATGCATGAGCTTGATCAGTAGTCCTGTGGATCGTATCAGGGCTCTCATATGGTTGCTCATTTCTGTAGGATAGAACCAAGGTTTCCTCACCACATTCTTGCCATAAAGCCCCCCGGTGAATGCGTGAGCTCTATCCTAATGACATATGTTGAATATTTATCGGTTTGGTAGGAACGCAGCGCCAACAAGTTCAAGTATTCATGCGGTTCAGGGCTCAGCGCCTTAGATCTGTAGGATATTGTAGGGTTCCCTATAACTAAACCCTGAACAGTAAACCCACACCCTAACCCCTCTGCTGCAGGCATCTCCTTATGACAAGCTCGGAATGCTCGTCTGGACCCCGAACATGTCACGGTGGTTCAGGGTTTAGGGAATGGTATGTCGCCGGTTTAGGGTGTAGGGTTTAGTAGTACCCAAAGGTCCCATAGTAGTTCCTTGTTGGGATTCCCTTATAGGATTCTATATATGAGCCCCAAAAAGGAACTACTTTGGGGCCTCTGGTAGAGCTGTGGTGTGCTTTCGGTGACGCGCAGTCAGGGGGTTCATGTCACCGTCTTCGCATGCGGCCCGGTTCAAGAAACTTGACATGGGAACTCAGCTTTTGCACGGTTTAAGGTTTAGGAAGTTTAGGGTTTGCTGCTTGGTAAAATGCCCCCCCATGCGCTACTTCTGGCAAACCTCTTTTCGGATCTCAGCACAAAACAACCCGCCACCCCGAAGCCCGAGCCCCAGACCCTCAGGTGAAGCATATGTTCGGTCGTCCACCGGTCGAGGCTCGCCCGAAGCTTCAGGGTTGACTCGGAGCTTTTCACAAAGACTTCAATTACAGGGCCAGCTTACAGGGGCTTGAAATAGTTGCCAGGACTATGTGGGGGGATGCCGGTTATACTCCCCAAAGTGCAGCTCAAATTATTAAGGGCCCTATATTAGATGGGTTAACTCTGGAGAACCGTCCTGGACTGGTCAACGACATCCCTGCTGTGTTCTTTAGCTTAGGCTTTTCGTCGACGCCGAAGAATTGCTTCGGAAGCTGCGTGAATAAACCCTTCGGCTTGCGGTGGGGGTGGGGAGGGTGCATTCGATTCGGGTGTGTTCGCAAAGTTCATCGGTTACTCCTTAGGCTGCTTCGTTTCAGAGCCCGCTGCTAAACCCCCAAGTACTTCTCTAAGTTATGGTAACGTATTCTCTCGAGGGATCCTTCGAGGCAACCTAACTGCCTCGAGTTTTGGAGTTGAGCTGTGCAATTTTGGTAGAATCCGGCTTTCTGAGGCCTCCCGTTTTTCAGCCTTCCATCCTGAGGTTCTAAATGGTCGTGGATGTGTAAACGCTACACCCAAAACCGAAATGCTAAATTCCAAACCCCCAAGCCCAAAAAGCCCCTAAACCCTAATCCCTATCAGATTCTCGACGGCATCTCTGCCAAAGAGACAGGTCGTAACAAATGCTTGGTTCAACCACTTGGCCTTAAGTTGAGTTTGCATTAATAGGGTCTGGCGTTTGCGGTTTAGGGGTTGGGATTGAGGGTCTCTGCTTCTTTTCGACGGTGTCTGTCAAGTGCACTTGTACCTCGGATGCCCGATCCTAAATCGAGCCACATCTGCTCTGAATCTGGAGCTTAACCCTGAACCTCTACAGCCATAGCCGTAAACCCTAAACCTAAGAATGGGGTGGTGGGAGGTGAAGGAATTGCTGGACGAAGGCGTGATTGTGGCCTGGGCACCCAGCAAGAAAGCCACGATGTTCCACGGCTTTCAGTAGTTTTTGTCTGATTTCGATAAGCCTGCGTCAGCCCATTGTCCAGGCTTCTTCAGTTTTTGCAGACGTCGCAGATGCAGGTGTCGTAGTCTGGCGATGCAAATTCTGAGCCCTGAGCAAACCACGAGCAAGAAAAAACAGCACCGAAACTCCTGAGTCCTCCGGCCCGAGTCCCAAAACCGGCAAACTCCGGCGCTGAACCGCTAAAACTCTGAGTCCCATGTCCGCTAACTCATGAACCCAAAATCCCGAATCAGGCCCTCCACCCAAAAAGAAAACGCTGGAACTGCCGCACTAAAATCATCCCGAAGCCGCAAAACCTTCGATGCCGTAAATCGTGGCCCTGCGGGCACCCCCCCTAAACCCTAAAAGCCCTAACAACCCTAAAAGCCCTAAAAACCCTAAAAGCCCTAACAACCCTAAAAGCCCTAAAAACCCTAAAAGCCCTAAAAATCCTAAAAGCCCTAAAAATCCTAAACCCTAAACCTGAGGCCTGGAACAAGCAGTGTGTAGGGGATGAGCTCCGGGAGTTCTGCCGGCCGATTCGTCGGGGCTCAGGGTTTTTTTTCGGGCTTAGGGGGCTTAATGGGCTTGTTTTTGGGCTTAGGGGCTTAGGGGGCTTAATGGGCTTCTGTTGCGGGGTTTATGGGCTTCTAGTTCTGGGGTTTCGGATTTTGGGGTGCTTGAGAGGTTTAGGGCTTTGGCTCCAGAGACCAGATGGTTGCTCGACTCCCATTTTTGTTGTGGAATACTCTATGTACGGGCTCCACTACTTTGCGAAATCTTCATGTGCCTGATGTGGCCCCGAAGGGTTTAGGGCCCTCAAAACTGAAGCCTAGGGCGGTGTTGAGAATTCTAGCCGCACGAGGCTCACAGAGTACCCTGAGGATGAGATCGCTGCGAAGGGCTCACGCTTGCAGTTCGGGGGCTTTAAGTTTACGGGCTGAAGGTTCAGTGTTCAGGTCTCTGGTGAAAACTTGAAGGCGCTGTAGGCCTTTAGGGACTCGGGCAGCAGCTCGGAAATCGGAAAGACAGTTGTCTAAGGACATGACATGGGAGCTTCGGAAAACAAGGGAAACTAGCATAGACCCTCAATTGGTAGGATCGTTAACATAAAGCCCCTCCCAAACAAGAGCCCCGGTTACTAGACGCCCCATAGCTCCGCTGCAAACTTTGCAAGCCCTGAACTTGATGAGCCTTACAAAACTGCACAGGCGTACCAAAACTTTGCACAACCTCGTAGCACCCTCACATGCAAAGCACCATGAAGCTATAGCTGTGCCAGGACACGGAGGATCGAACCGGGCCGATTCCTCAGTATCGGTGTAAGCGCCCTTAGGCTCAGGGGGACTAGGGCATCTCAGCATGAAACGGTTTGTGATGACTTGTTTTTGTTGTTTTCGTTTGGGGGGATCGGGCTGTGGACTTCTGAGAGTGTATGGGTCTCGGAAGGCTCTTCGGGTGTTGGGCTCAGGTATTGTCGGTTATTTTGGGGAGCTGCTTCGGAAATTGTTGTGTTGAAGTTGAAGCCACGACGGAAACCAAAGCCTCATGTTGTGTTCCCATTTTTAGGTCCCTCTTTTGATGGTTGTTGTTCAGACCCCTGTTGTAATGGTTGGGATTTCGAGGGCTTAGCATTGGGGGTTTTGGACACGGCAGACCGTAAAGCCTAGACTTTCAAGTCGGTTCCGGGTGTGCCGTTTGTGAGGGTACCCTGTAATGTTTCAGGCATTCTTGGCGTTGCGACCAGGAAGCGACAGCCTCCAGAGACACCGACATGGGGCCTCCTGTTTTCGGAGTGCGTAACTGTGGGCTTTAAATCTGCAGCTCTTTCATTTTTTCTTCGCAGGAGTCGGGCTTTCATGAGTTGGCAGCCCTGATCCCTAAACCCTCTGCCTTCGGAAAACTATGATACCAAGACCGCAAACCCTAAACCTTGACCAGGTAATCAAGCCTAAGCCGAAGGTGACCACATCGTCAGTGTCAATGGGCACACCGACGTGCCCAGCCCTCTGTCTTGTAGGCTGTTTTAGGGCTTAAAGTTCAGGGTACCGTCCCTGTACCCGTAAGCAGGGGTATACTAGCAGGGACTAATTTAGGATGTAAACGAGAGTAATTAGATAGCGGGCCTAGGTACCTTTAGACTCATGGTGAACCTTCGTCATAGAGCTTCTTCTTCCGCAACACCAGGCTAAGGTTTGGGGTGTAAACTTCAATATGCTTTAGGCGATGTAGTTCTGAAGGTCTGAAGATCTGGGTGGGATTGTGGGATGCGCCTGAAGATCCTCTGGAGCTCGGGTTTGCTGCGGCGGCCCTCAGCAGTTACCATGTCTGAGAGTCAGCGCGTTAGATGTGCCAATGGAGGCATAAAGCTGAAACCTCAAACACCAAAGCCCCCACGCAAACTGCTAAGACAAGCGGAACACTAACCCTATATTCAAGACAGCCCAAGGTCTGAAATCATGAATCAGATGCGGACGGAGGTCAATCTCAGGTTTCAGGCGCCGTGGCGGGTTTAAGTTTGCGGGGGTCGCGAGCTGTGAGGTCTTGGGGGCAAGCGTCTGTCATGCTAAAAATGATTAACTACAAGCCCCTGAAGACTTGGGCTTGGACACCTAGGGAGTCTTCACAGGACTGTGGAATCTCTGCAGAGTTTAGGGCGATTGGTAAGTAAGCCCGAACCAGGCCTTGTCTCGGAGTATGCCGTGGTTTCTACCTGCTGTCACCGAACGTCTCAACACCCAAACCCAAAAGCATATGCTGTTGGGGCTCACAGTGATTTTTGAAGACGCCACAAGGCGAGGTTCATTCCCCTTTAAAGGAACCCGTTAGAGATGGATGCAAGGAATGGACATAGAAACCCTGGGTCTCTTCCTTAGATGGGACTCAGGGCCCCAGTATGTGCGTCAGACTGAAGAACTCGCACTCCTATCTTCCCATTCGTCCTTGCATTCGTCTCTGCAAAAGGCAGTGCCCAAACGTCTTATCCTCACCGCCTCGGCCCACACACCCAAGGGCTTTGAATCTGAAGTTCGATTGCACGGTTGGCAGCATATAGGGCTCTGAAACAGTAACGGTCGGCAGCGGCGGCTCAGATGGTCCACTGGATCCCCTGATGAATTGAGGTCTAAAACTTTAAAACGTTGTAGGCTTAATCGCAAAGAGTAAAGAGTATATCACTAAATCCTGAAACCTTGGACCTGAAACTTGAATGCTAGGCCCTGTAAGCCCTAACCACTCCCCCTTCCTCACTTTGCTACATCCTGAAGGCTGCTTGCTGGAGACCCCATAGCTATTGAGCAGTGTTCATGTCGGTACTGTCACGGTTTTGCGATCATCGACTGAATGAGTCGGTTTGTCCAAGAATTTCTGTAGTAGCTCACTAAAGGGGTACTCTATTATAGGGATCACTAAATCGGCACTGAAAGGGCGCCTTGATCAACTCTTCATCCTATCGGCCATGCCGCACCATCCATGTGCAGGTCTTCCGCCACGCGAACTGCGTGATGCGAATGGGATGGAGGCCAGGGAGCTGGGTTTATGGATATTAGGGTTTAGGGTTTTGTGTTTTAAGGTTTAGGTTTTTAGGGTTCAGAGTTTAGGGTTTTAGGGTTTAGGGTTTAGCGTTTAAGGTTTTTGGGCGTAGGATAGAGGGTGGTTGGTCAGAGACATGGGCAATGTATACAGGTGTGAACTAGCTTGAATATCCTCCTCTACTTCCTGTATAGCCTATACTATCGCAAGCCGGGGCCTGATGTTTAGGATGATTAAGATTAATAAAGGTTTGGGGCTGGAGGCTTTAGGGTATACGGTTTAGGACCTCGTTGTTATCTGACAGACCTCGAATGCAGGGCTTCGTGGTCCCGGCGCTAAGAGTCCTCTAGCTCTTTAGCGCAGGAATCTGTTGGTGGGGTTCAGGGTGTTAGATTGCAGGAAGTTTGGGTTTAAGATTTCCAAGAGTTCAGGATCAGGGTTTGGGCTGTTGAAAGCTGATGGTGTAGCTGCTGATTGCAGCTCAGATTCCGAAGCTTTGTTCAGCTTGGGTTCGAGTCCTGGAACCAGAAACGCGAACGGTTCCTAACCAGTGCCGCTGACTTTGAGAATGATCTCAGGCCAGCTTTCGTGAGGAGTCCTTAATTGTATAGCACCAGGCCCCTGGCCCCAGATCACGAAGAAACTAGTTGCGGCCGCCCACAACTCCGCCATCCTGCCTCCTTCGTGAGTGGGAGATTGGGGCAGTGGAGGTCGCCTGACAGAGGATGGGAAGAAGCATAGATCAATGGCCCGACCCTCAGTACTTTCTGCACGGCTGGGCTTTGTGTTTGCCTCCACTAAAACTTCTCCCCTGTAGTTCCTTCTTCTGGTTATCACCGTTAGCTTATCTCCTGCTTTTCGCAAGGGGACCGAAACCCCCGAAGCAAAAGTCTCCCAGCCAAATGAAGCGATGCTGAGATCTGGGGTGCTTACGGCTTAGTATAGGTTATAAGGGTGAGTATAAGTGTCTCTCGTAGGGTTCTATCAGGTTTTAGGGTCTCTGGGATTTGGGCATCGGTTTTCAGATGTGGGGCTTGAGATGAAGATTAGGTCCTGTCGTGCTTCAGTGCCTTGGGGCTACAAAGATTCAGGATATGGGGCTCAGGGTATGGGGATTCGGGGCTTGGGGATTCAAATTGCCGCGTCCTACACCTCTTCAGTCGCCGCCCAGGTGCTCCTGTCTTCCAGTGATGCTTTGAGACTCGCAAGGGGTCGGCCCCGAATTAGCGGGAGCTGCCTGTGGGCCAAAACAGGGCCACGCTTTGGGCAGACCCGACGACAAGCTGGGCTTGCAAGTTCCCAGGAGAAATCAGGAAGTTCTCTGGTCAGGCGGGCTGCAGGTGTAATGGTGAGGTCGCTGATGCTGTTGAGGAGTTGAGGGTGACGTGGATAGCAATGCTGGTCATTGTGCTGGTGCTGGTGCTGGAGGGAAACATGAACAAAATGCTACCGATGCTGAAGAAGAAGATGGTTATGGAACAGCAGTCCTGATGCTACTAGCACTTGCACTATAGTACCGGCACTAGTGGTGGTAGTGGTAGCAGCAGCTAGCGAATTGGTCCATGTAGCCGAGCTGGAAGTTTTTCCTTCGCTGAAAATGCCCCGTGCACTGTAATATAGGGGCCTTAAGCATTATACTATAATTACAATAGGGAACCACCCAAAATACTATAGATAGTTATTTATTAAGGCCCCTACATTAGTTGCTCAGCTAACATCCGAAGAGCTGCCAGAGATCCCTGGGGACCTTGGCTTGAAAGTGGAATGCAGCCTGCATTGCAGCAAGGATGCCGTCGCAAAGTAGCACCCCCCCCCCCCCGGGCCTCGTGGCCCCCCACCTCTTCCTTGCGAAGTGCCGAATCCTCCAGCAGTGCGTCAATGTTATGTAAAGTACTAGAACACTTGACAAGACACGGTATCCCAAGCAGCGATTCAGAAGGCATTGAACCCGGAACAGCAACTAACAACAATTCCTTTTGGCTTGAAGGCTTGAGCCGTAGGCGGCAGGTCGTCTTGTGCTAGGGGCTTTGGGCCGAGCCAACCCTCGCAAGGGGAATGTGTCTTCTGTTAGGGTTCTGTGGGCATATTGATGACTCTATGTTCTCCTTTGCGATGCTGGTTAACAGGTACTTTTACGCAACACCCTCCTTCACATCATGCCATCATGCAGCCCCAACCTAGCGGCATCCTTTGCACAGGCTGGATGTGGGTATTATTGGCAGCATTGACGGGAAGTCCATTGTGCCAAGGGCAGCAGAAAAGGCCTCCAACCTCTAGGCACTACAGTAAGCACGACTATAAGCCGTGTGTCAGAACAGACAGACCTGCGCACCTACTCCCTATCAGAATAGACCCAAGCACCTACACCCTAAAATATCATAACCCCAAACCCCGTTCTGTGTACATATTAGGATTCAGGGAGAGGGGGGGATGTACAATGCAGCCCTTGACGTGCCGTTTCATGACGTCATGGGAGTAGTATAGCGTGTAGTGACGGATAACCTGTTGTGATAAAACAGAAAGGCAGGTATCACTCCAAACAATACGTGAGGGTGGGTAGGCGGAGATTTTTTTCACGCAGCAACGCTGCCATAGCGTGTAGTGTGATGTGGGATTCAACTCAACAGGGCTCACCCCACGAGAAGTTGCCCACACTGGAGTGAGCCTTAGTCTTTGATATCAGGCAAAGGAGGGGCGTTCCAGGAATACATTCGAGCCACGTGCCTCATCAAACAAACATCTTTGCTAAGAGCATGCGCATCTTTTGAAGCATTTATGTGCAGTGAAACCCAACTTAAACGTCGTCTCCTTAGGACAATAATGGATTTCCCGATAGGCTGCCGATGTGAGTGGTGACGCCGCGGAGAGCAGGTACAGAATATCTCAGGTCTCTGAGGAAGCCTGTATCTCAAGCGGGGTTATGTGTCACAGCAGCAGTGAACCTGAAGCCCCACTGAACCTAAGACCCTAGACCCCACATCTACATGTAGAGCTCCAATCAAAGGCTTTTTCATTCTTTTTGTACCACAAGGGCAGCGTTACTCCAGTTCACCGCGTGTTCTTCAATAGAGCATCTACGACAAGATTCGCACTCGCGTTCGGTGTCAGGCATGTTAATGTTCGAGGCTGCGAAGAGCAACGTTGGCATTATGTATCTCAACTCGAAGCGGTTGACTGGCAGTACTACGGACCTTGGCTTTGTCAATGCTTGTCTTGATTGGTTGGCTCAAAGAGGTAGTCTTATGAGCGTGTGCCACTGGGAATGTTCGAAGGTGCTTCGGGGTCAAGCACGTGTGAGATATTGAAGATCAGTGTCAAACTGACTGGGAGCTTCGTGTTTACCATGCCTCATGTCAGAAAGATAATCAACACTGTTTGCTTTCTGGAACGTTCGCGAGTTGAAGTATTCTACTATACGACATGATCTATAGTATAGTCTTGTGTTGAACACACATACGAGCGGGTCATCTCGCACCGGCATCGCGAGGCTCGCGCCTCCAACTCCACCTATGACGGATCCGCTCGCACTCGTATGCCCCCAACAAGATTCACCCATGTGTCTCTTCTACACTAACCTGAACCCGAAAAGCCCCACATCGTGGAGGGATACATCCTTGCTTGAATCAAGACAACTCTCGAAACAATCCTGCTCTCCTTGGCATCTCTTAGTCATCCTCTGTCGTAGTTATTGGGATCCACGGCAAAAGGAGGGACCCTTGTTCCATCGACCATCGACTTGTACGGACATTTGCACCTTTTGCCATCCGCGCCCCTGAAGTAGACTTAAGGCTCTTCTGGAGTTCTAGATGGTGGAAGCCAGCCCAGCCACCTAAGCATCTATTTCAACCCCGAAGTTGAGCAAACATGGGTCTCTCCAGCTTTTGCCTTTGATGTAAGGTGCGGCAAGGGCTTTGGAAGACCATCCGTAACTCTCAGCACACTAAAGTCGCAACCCGAACCCTAAACCCTGCACCTGCCCGGGACACCTCGAACTTGGACCCTAAGCCCAGTTCATCAACTCACCCCTGAGCCGTAATGTCTAAACCGGCCGGCCTGAGGACCAACTCATAAGACCTACGTAACCCTCAAGATCCATGCACCTAATAATCTAGAATCATATAGTGCCGAGAAGAATAACCCACCAAACTACACTGCCCTAAACCCAAGTACCTCATGATTGGGGCGTTTGGGTAAGGTCCCATCAGACCCTGAACCAAATGGTCTGTGTAATAGTATAGTATATACTTTCGGGACCCAAATATCTACTGAGAATCCACTATATTGGTTGGGTAATCCCTGTCACCAAGAAGGCAAGGGCACTTCACGTTCTTTGATAGCTAGGCAGCTCGAAGCTGAAGGTGGAACCCGTTTAGGTGTGTGAGCTACGGGTTGAGGTTTGGCATTTAGGGTTAGGGTCATGAAGGCTTAAAGAATAGGGTGTAGAGCTTAGTCGCAGCTTGTGGATCTACATGTCGGATTTAGGATAGGATTTAGGTTTCGGTGTTTAGGGTAGGGGACAGTGGCTAGGTTTTATCAAAGATGCAGCAATTGAGATGTAGTTTCAGTCATAAGACTAGTTTACGATGTTTGGATGCAATTTCGGACTCGGGATGCAGCGTCCTGGTTTCAGGATGTCGGGGCATCCTAGACCCTAAACCGTCTTTGGAGTGGTGAGGGTTGAAAAATCATGAGATTCTGGACAGAGATCGGCAAGAAGATCTCCCAACTACTGGGTAACCATGGGTTGTGAAAAGCCGTAAAGGTCTGGAGTTCCTGGGTTTAGGAAATCAGTTGCGGATTAGCGCGTGCCTCAACACCGAAGCCCCAAACTTGACTTCTATTCACGCTGTAGTTCAGGATGTTCGTGGTAAGCATTTCCGCACCTTTGCACCGAGGCTGTCGGTAGAGCCTCTATTGACAAAGGCAATGTGCAATCACATTGCATTTGGACCAAAGCTAGCCGGCGCTTCTCGAGAAGTCTGAAAGACGCTGTTCGTTTTGCTCCACCAAGCCCTATATACCCCTATGAGCAGCATGCTGACCATTGGATAGCGCCGCACGCCGGCAAGGGCCAACCCGAGCTTTGGAAATGCTAAGACGGACTCCTTTCGGGCCTTGGAGCTTTCGGGTACCCTGAACCCCTAAACCTTGCACCCTAACCCCAACAGCCCACCCCCGAAGCCCCTAAACTCTACACTCGGTTTCTGAGTTGGAGACTGAAGTGACTACACTTGGGGCCCTCAGCCCTGAAGCCCCAACCTCCGATCCTGGTTCCTGGCAATACGGGCGCCTGAACATCTAGAATAGGTTTTTCTATGGGGGCAGAGGGGATTCTAGCACACATGTTTAGGGAACTCTACGTAATGTAAGGCTTGCAAGTATAGAAGTCCGAACAAGTGCATAGCTTACTCCTTAGAGATCATATTGCCCCAACCGCTGCTCTAAGTATTGTGGCCCCCTTATTCGGGCCATGCTATCCCTAAAAAACCTTACTCTACTTGTTAAGGCGTTACGGCTGCTCGGTTATTCAGGCGTTTTCACCGTGCTATCCCTAACAGACCCTCGTGAAGCTGATCCGAGCTTTCGGGGACAGGTCTGAAATCCCCCTTCAACCGCCAAGGTGTGGGGTCAAATAGGTGTACATATTATATATATATATGTATATATACATACTTACTAGTATAATGTACACATACACATGTGTAGATGTATATAAACATATGTACACACGTATTTGTACA